TTGTTTTAATCAATGCGACCAACTTGACAACTGTAATTTACCAACCAAAAACCCTAGATTTGCAACGTTGCCGCAGTAAAAAAAAATGAACTTTACTTAAAACTAAGCAGGAATAAGTCAAAACTAGAGTTGACACCAACATTAGCGTATAAACGAGCTTTAGTATACTTTATAAGGAGGTTTCTTTTTAAATATGAAAGTTGTATTTTACTTTAAATAAATAAATATAATAATCTTCGTGGAACACCTATTAAACCTAATAAATGTTCATGTATTTTGTATCTTTTGATCCATATTTTTCTTTGATGTTAACCTTTCAAATCAAGTCAGTAAACGAAAATTTAGTTCAAGTATAAAGATAGAAAATAGACTATTGACTTTTACAAAAGGTAATTAAATATTAATAAACTATTTTAATATCAAAGAAAATATTTCGAAGAAGAGACAACTTCCTGAATGCTATTTTTATCAGTAATACTGATAAACAAATTGTTTAGAACAGCCTGAAATATTTTCGAAAAATAGTCTTAAATGAATAACCTTATAATCTGTGTTTATAAAATATAAAAAATTTGACATTTGACGGTGACATACATATTCCCCTATTGTTTCGTAGATGGCGCTCTATAAAAATATTTGATTTAAATCATTTTAAGATAAATAATAAGTATTTGTCGTAGAAAAAGTATAGTATGCACCTAGTTTATAAACTTTTTCTATACACTCATTAATTTAAGAACTCGCTCGCAAGATCACTCGTGCCTAAATTAAATTCGTGTATAAAATGGCGTTTATAAAACTTAAATAATATACTATTATCTACTCCTGCATTGACGAGCTGTGACTTTATGACGTTTTAGTCAGGGACTGAAGTTAGCAACAGTGGCTTTTGGGCATTTTAGTCACAGGCTGAAGTTAGCTTTATCATAATAAAGGAAAAATGAGGTTAAATCCGTTAAAAGTTGACAGGTCTGAAATTTTAAAAGCGTTTATAATTATTATAAACGCTTTTAAAATTTCAGACCTGTCAACTTTTAACGGATTTAACCTCATTTTTCCTTTATTATGATAAAGCTAACTTCAGCCTGTGACTAAAATGCCCAAAAGCCACTGTTGCTAACTTCAGTCCCTGACTAAAACGTCATAAAGTCACAGCTCGTCAATGCAGGAGTAGATAATAGTATATTATTTAAGTTTTATAAACGCCATTTTATACACGAATTTAATTTAGGCACGAGTGATCTTGCGAGCGAGTTCTTAAATTAATGAGTGTATAGAAAAGTTTATAAACGAGGTGCATACTATACTTTTTCTACGACAAATACTTATTATTATCTTAAAATGATTTAAATCAAATATTTTTATAGAGCGCCATCTACGAAACAATAGGGGAATATGTGTGTCACCGTCAAATGTCAAATTTTTATTTTTTATAAACACAGATTATAAAGGTTATAAATCGAAATGTATTTCTTAAAAATGGACAGTTTTTTACAGTGAAAGTAAAGAAAATGTTTTATGAGCACTTTACAGTGAAGTCCGTGCTCGAATTTAAGTTATAGTTTACTGCCGGTGAAATTAAAAGGTCAATACAATGTTCATATAAATTTTTCAAATATTGGCGTTGAGAAACTATTTAATACTTTTGTATTTTTGTATTGAGATAATAAAATAATTTTCATATTTAGTATTATTTTACAAGAAAGGCACTTTATTTTAACGATTGTATGACATTTGACAACTGTCAACTAACTTAAAACTAACTTCAGCCCGTGACTAAAAACCTGTGGCTAACTTCAGCCCGTGACTAAAACGCCGTAAAGCCACAACTTGTTAATGTGTATTTAAAGGTCACTTGGTGTCATGGAAACGATATGGTACGATAATGGTCGTTTTAAAGGTGGGAGTAGAAAAAAGACTTGATCCAGCTAAACAAATGTATGCCCAAAAATATATTTAAAAAATAAATTTATTATTTCCGTATTATTAAACAGTAAGTAAGTAAGTATAATATATTTTGACAGCAACGGTTTTTATAATGGTTCTATTTTGGTATAAAAAAGCTCTTAACAATACATTTTCAACGGGGACATTATAATGCTTATACAGGCAAATTTAGGGATTTCGTTTTTTGATTGCTAAAAACACCTTTAAAAATTTAAAAAGGAAAAACACGTTAAACTTTGGAAAACAAAATTACGTTGCATGTCAATTTCACCATGAAATAAATTAATTATATGGAAAAGTTCTTCGTGTTTAATTTATCTGCATGTCCATTTTTTAAAATTAAGTTTTTATTTAAAATATGCTAAATGCTCTAAGGGCCTTATCGTGTGCACTATAGTTAAAAATTAAATTATGTCTATTCTGCGTAATTGTTCTAGAAACGTTAAAAGCTTCAAGAGAAAGCCTATTATAAAACAATTTTAATATAAGCCAATTATTTATAGCCCAACGTTAATTATTTTACGTTAAGGTCGGTAACATAATTTTTAATTAGAGAATTTACTAATTAATTACTTAAAATACACCGGCTTTAAGAAATTTAATTATTATTCTTTTTTTTGGTTAATTCTTTTTTTTCACTTAATTAAAAAACTATTCTAAAATTTTCTTGGGAACCCATTTTTTGAGTTAAAACAGTTGCAGATAGGTATAGGACATTGTATCTACATATGAACAAAGAAATTACGAATGTCAATGTTTTAGAAAGAGAGCAAACAGTTAGTAATTATAGCGTTATTTTTACGTAAATTCGTGGAATTTATATTGGTTTTATTACGTTATTCTCTTAGTAGATCAAAAAGGTTATTATGTAGGTAAAATAACGAAATAAACCATTTCCCAAATTTGGTGATTTTTCGTATATATACCGTTATAAAACCGTTTTGGATTACCGTAAAAAATACTAAAGTTGACTTAGTAGTAAATTTGTAGTTATTTAAACTTAAAATGCTACTTGGGACCCTTCTGTATTATACATCACAATTTTATTTGATTAAATGATAATAAATCTGTTAGTGGGAAAAAGTTCATAATTATAGATAAATTGCGAGTCGACAGAAAGGGACATAAAAACGTAAGGAATCTCAAAGGAGCGAAAGGTAATAAATCGAAATTTTAAACGCTCGCAGACGGTATCGTAAGCACCGATTATAAATGACTTTTTAACAATGTTGCATGAGTTTTTGAGTCAACGAATTACCCATGTTTTTAATGATTTAAATTGACCGAAAAGTAGTAAAATGAGAATAAATGTAAGATTCATTGAGAAAAATATGTTTTTTTAACATGAGTTTATAATTTGTTAATTAAATTAACAAATTACAAACTATAGTTTTCGGAGAAAATTAAACAGTATTTTGTTATGAGAACATAGATAATATAATAAATATACTCTTCCAGACCGGGCCAGTTACTTTTTTAAACAGTTTCTGTAATATCTGTGTTTTCTAAATTTGAATGCAAGGAAAGTGACGAGTATACCAGGGTACTAATTAAATAAATAATTTATTGGAAAATATAAGATTTATTGCATATTTAAGTATATTATACATTAAATATCTTAAAATCAAATAATACCACACCAGTGGCGGCTGGTGGATTTTGGGTATACCGATATCTCAATTATTAGATATTGGACATTAAATAATGACATTAAATAAACAAGTTCTGCGCAAGCAGAATTTAAATTGAAGTTTGCGAAAAAAAGATAACCAAAACATCGAACATGGTACTGACGACACAGTACTGATACAAATTTGAGATTATAATTCGGAATTAAGTATTTTACTGACATTTTTTATTAGTGGATGCTACTTATCAACAAATTACATATAGCCTTATATAAATTACAATGAAATATATATACGTAAGAAAATAACTACTCACCACAGTACCTACTGAAATTTTGACTGGAACTATACGTGCATTCACCACAACTTCGCCGCTTGCATTGTTTTTAAGTTGACTGTCGTGCAAAGGGCGGGCTCTGTAATTTTTTACCAACACTTGAGTTAAAAGGAGGACTTGACGTTTAAACTTCAAAATTTCGCAGAAATTTTGAATTTTAACATTGGACACAGAACTGACGGGTAAAAGTGAGTAAAAAGATTATCAATTTTTAAAAAATTGCTGTTATTCGAATCTATGATAAAGTATGAAAAATACATTATTTAATGTTTTATAGTTTGTAGTGAAATTGAAAAATTTAAGATAAATTGAATATATTTTAAAATAAAACCACTCAAATATTTGATTCAGGAGTTGTGACACGCCAAGGTACTGATGTTTTGGATATTTATTATGTTTTTCTACAAATGTGCTTTTGAAAAAATACATTAAAATTGGGTGAACGAGTTAAAAAAACCTGGATATTTTGTAATATACTAAAATATTTACAAAAAATATTAAAATACCTACTCTATTGACTGATGGCATCAAGTTGTTCAACTTTTGTAGAATGACCCATTTACATTAAATTAATAAATGATTTTTTTTGACACAAATTTAGTATATTAATAACAAATAAATAGATAAATTAAATTTCAGAATATAGATATTGTTTTTTTTTATTGAGGAAATAAACCTAAATAACCCATTTCGGGTTTTAACAGGTACATATGTAACATGTGCATGTATAACAAGATATCTTAAAATATATGTAAAATGTGTATATATAACAATTTATTGTAAAATAAAGCATGTGTACTTAATAAATACTATCACAGTTGCAACATGTATCACATGTAACACAGGTCTTCATTTCTCTTGCTTATTTTTTTGAATTTGCTCTCTGGTGTGTTAAGTTTTCTGGGAGTTATAAATAAAATTATTTTTCAAAATTTTTTCTGTATTTATTATAAATAAAAACGTCTCAAATAAATATTTATTATTGATTAACCCTAATATTTCTTTCAGTACACTTATAACTGTAGTAGTCATTTTTGACTAATTCATTTTTAGAGAGCAACTAACCGAAATAAACAGTTGTTTGTTTCAGTATGGCGCTTTACCATGCTTCGATACTTTTCGCGCTAATATTCCTGTGGCTGATCCTGGCGAACGGCGGCGCTTCGCCCGTCAGCGGCCGCTCGGGCCAGGCTCTGAGGCCGATCAGGACCATCAAGCAGCGCGCCTTCAAAGACATGGACCTGCTGGTGGCGAGAGGGTACGGGAAACGGGTCCCGCAGCAACTTATGACCGCGAGGTCATACGGCAAGCGAGCGGTCAACATGGACAATGTAAATAAGTAAGTTAAATCTCTACCCAAAACTTTATATGCAATGCATATTATGCATAGTTTATGAAAGAGATACAGGGGGTTTTAAGTTTAAGGAGATATTATAAAAATAATTGTTTGAAAAAGTATTATCAAAATTTTGACATTGCAAAATTTTTCAATGTACTAGAACATGTCATTTTCTAGTAAATTCGTTGTTCATCACCAAAATTTGGTATTTTATCTACTCTCTAAAAATGAAACAGTGGATTTTCACTGATTGACAGTGCATATTAACTATTTGCCTCAGTGATAAGTATACCACTAGCAATTAGTGAATACTCACTTTTTCATGTACAGGGTGATCCCCTATAATGTCGCCCCCCTTTAACTTTTTTATTTTAAGTGTCTCAAAAAATTTAAAATTGTGGTTATGTAGGAACTAAAAAATACTTTTTTTTCTACGTATAAAGAAAATTGGAAAATTGATCAGTATACAGGGAAAAACAAAAAGTTTATTTTTTTTTCAATGGATCACCCTATATTTGAATTTATTTTTCGATTCCTTGTAAAATTCTGAGCATAATTTATATACAAACCATATACCTAAACTCAACCGTTTCTGAAATATTCGCATTCGAAATATCATCATTAAATGTTTTTTTAAACTGTTAAAAATCAAGAAGCCTCAGTATACCAAAATTTTTATTGAAAATAAATTACTATAGTAACATTATGTCAATAAGTGTTGTTAAATAAGTAAAAATGGCGTACTCAGACAGAGAAAGACAAACTATTTCAACTTATTATCTTAAAAATAATTTAAATATTTCAGAAACGGTTGAATTTAGGTATATGGTATGATATATGAAATATGCTTAGAATTTTACAAGGAATCAAAAAATAAATTCATATATAGGGTGATCCATTGAAAAAAAATAAACTTTTTGTTTTTCCCTGTATACTGATCAATTTTCCAATTTTCTTTATACGTAGAAAAAAAGTATTTTTTAGTTCCTACATAAGCACACTTTTAATTTTTTTGGGTCACTTTAAATAAAAAAGTTAAAGGGGGGCGACATTATAGGGGATCACCCTGTACACAGAAAAAAATCTAACATAGTACCAAGAACAGCGCTGTCATTGAATGCATTAAAATTGAAGCAATCTAAATTGTTATTTGCTCAATTAATTACTATTAAACCAAAATAGGGAAATATTTTGCCTAAATGTCAAAGAATTTATTGCGTTAAATGTATACATAGTATACATACAATAGTAACGTTATTAAATAAATCAAATTAGTATTTAATGCAATAACATTCTACCATTCTAACAAATAAATATCAATATGAATATCAATAGATTTTTAGCGATAACTTTTGTTGTTAATTTAAAAACAGTAAACGATTATAAACCAAGTGCTAATTACCTATTGGTATTATAGGAACTGTTATTCAGGAATACGGATTACAAGATCCCATTGGTTTAATGGCTCACCCATTCATGCTATGCTAGCGTTTTTTCTGTGTAGCGATTTCTTTTCACTAATTTATTTAGTGAAATAGGTTTAGTTCAAAAAAGTTAAAATTTCACTATTTTATGTCGAGAGTTCCGGAAAAGTAGTGATAATAAAAAACACTAATTTGGAGAAGTTAAAATTTCACTAATTTATATTGAAAAACTCTAATAACTCACTGACGGAAATAGTGAAAATTTCACTGTTTCACTTTTAGAGAGTAAAATCATAAAACTGGGGTGACCTTTATAGAGTGTAATTTAGAACTTTTTGACATATTTAACATATTTTTGTCACTATTAGTAAGTACCTAAGTAAATTAAAGTAAAGTAAGTAAATTAAATTATTAAAGATTTTATAGTAAAATGTAAGTTTTCTACAGCTTCTACAAAAATGGTGGCAATAATATCAAAATTTTTTGGGAAAAAAGGCACAGTTTTAATGAATTTGTTCCATACTCACTGTAGGTAGTACTTTATCCATGACAACTTTGATTCTTGAGTTAAAATAGGCAATATGGATGCATTTTTTATATTTGCCAATGTTTTTTTGTTTTTTAACCATGCAAGATGGATTTTTTTTATTAAATAAGATTTTATAGATGTCCAATTGAGGAGCATCCGTGCAAAACCGGCTATATCCACTTTAATAAAATGTTGGGAAAATGGCAAAAACTCTCGGTTTACTGGCCTTTGCAGATAAAAGAAAAAGCAAACTTGAGTTTTGTGGGCTTTGTGGTACTTGATTTATAAGACATAGTTTCGTTTTCAAAAACTTTATATTAAGGCCAAAATTTCAAAAAAATGTTTTGTATATAGCCGGTTTTGCTCAAAAACCGAATAAAAAACGAATAAAATGGGAAAAAAACATTATTATTCAAAAATATTAACAAAATAAATTAAGTGCTAACATGAACAAATTTTAGTAGTAGTATCGACATATCCAAGCCACATGCTCATCATCATTATTATTTATTGGATATAGCCGGGTTTGCTATAAAAACGTGGATTTGGCCGGTTTTGCTCCTAAAGCTACCTTTTAAATGTGATTTTAACATGGATATACCTAGTTGGATTTGAACAGAATTATCTTGGTTGTCGATAGAAATGAACCCAAAGATGCGAAATAAAAAAAAAACAAAAACTGAATAAAATGGATTTAGCCGGTTTTGCACGGATGCTCCTGAATTTACATTGGTTCCCTATACAAAAATAACATAAATGTTATTTTTTTAATTAAACACCTGATATTTATTAATAATAATAATAAAAAATATTTTTTTATACCCATTTGTCCTTCATTTTTTTATATTTTTTATCTCGCAATAACAGCTTTATTGTAAAATAAGTTTTATAGTCGAAATATCGTTTTTTATTTTTCAAACAATTTTTTACAGTTTTTTTTATTGTAAAAATTTATTTATCCTCTTAAAAATTACTTTCTTACATCTAAAAAACGGTATAGTACGCTGAAGGAGGAGTTACTTTAAGTAACGTACAACAATATTTAAAAATAAAATGTTATAATTTGTTATTAATAAAGTGACCAGATTCTGTCAAAAAATAGGGGGACATTTTGTATGAATTTACCTTAATTTCAAAATTGACACAATGCAAATTAAATTTGACGTTACTTAATTATTGTTGATTGTGTCATTTTTGTAATTAAGGTTAATTTACACAAAATGTCCCCTTATTTTTTGCCAGAAGTTATTAATAAAGTTATAAAGTTTAATTTTTTTGACACAAACTGTCAAAAAATACCTGACAACCGTTTTAATATTATGTATCAAGTTTGATAAACGCCATTTTAGTCACGCTGCAGCGTTGTCTCAGTTGGTATGCATTTTACGAAAAATTGTTGAAAATAAAAATTAAAAGATTCGAGGGGGGAAATCAATCAGTACTAAAATTGGACCTCATACTCTCCTCCTTATAGGGGAAACAGGGGGTAAAATTTCCAACGGAGCACCCTATTTTTTTTATTGCATTCGACTAAAAATAGGTAGATTTTTTCTAAAACATTTTTTCATATTTGTAATAGATAGCGCTGTAATGAAAAAAAATCAACTTGTTCGATTTTTCTTCTTATACTTTAATTATCTTATTAAATTAAATAGGATTTTTTTAAGTACCCACAATTTTTATCTAATATTTAAGTTTCCTTTGGTTTAAGTTTTATACTTTATTTTATTCGGTGATAATTATCAATTGCGCACCATGGTCACTTTTTACCTGCCAGCATTAAATCCTTTAATTTAAAGGATTATTGTACTATTTTTAATAAAAATACCCATTTAAGGTAAAAAAACATTATTTTGTCAATTAATTAAATTAATCCTAATTGAGGTTCTTATAAAAAATGGTATTTAGTTATAAATAATAATTATTACTGAGGTATAAACTATTTATACTTAGTTTGGCATTATTTAATCAATTTAGTTCGAAGAATAATTTGCAAACAAAAAGACCTCCTTTTGTTAAGCAGTTATTCATAATGGATTTTAAAACAGTGAAAGAAAAAATAGAAATGATTTTGATTTATGGAGAAGCAGGCAGGAATCTTGATGATGCTGTTAATATCTACGCTCAGCGTTTTCGGGAAAAAATTCGATCACGTACTTCATTTCACCTTACAGTAATGCAGTTTAGGTACTACAAACGGGAGTGTTCAACTGAAAAAAACAGTTCGTCGAGCAAATATTTAATATTGTTATTTTGAGCACCTACTTTAAAAAATAAATAAATAAATTTAAAAAATAAAACCAAGTGTTTTATTAAAAAATTATTGGAGAATCGTATACAGAAGAAACATCGAACAAAATTGATTTTTTTTTTATTACAGCGCCATCTATTACAAAAATGAAAAAATGTTTTAGACAAAATCTACCTATTTTTAGTCGAATGATCCGAATCTGCAATAAAAAATAGGGTGTTCCATTGGACCTCGTTAGTACGCCATTAACGGAACGCCCTGTAGTTTTTTTTTCAAAAAATCAAAACTCGTATTCATCTCAACTTTGTTTTAATACACTAATTAAAACTTTTTAGTTTTGCAACATCATAAAACAAAGTATCGTAAAAAAATTTAATATAGAAATATTATATTAAAATACGTTAATATGAAACTGCTTAATAAAGTTTAAATTAATACCTCCATATTTGTAATTACATTTTCAATATACGCCGGTTACTTTTTTGCAAAAATGGCGAATGCGCCGGGGTTAACCAATTTTGACGTCACATAAGCAAGGTGTTTAATAACTTGGGTATAAAAACAAGGTAATAATTAAGGTTTGAGACATATGAGACATAGATTGTAATAGTGAAATATCTATCTATTAATAAAGTACAAAGTTGAAGCAGTTTTAACACCACTATAACAAAGTTTTTTTTACAATTTAACTTAAATTATTATTATTAAATTTATAATAATAAACCTGTTTATGAAAACGTCTATCAACACTATTAGATATAGAATTAATTAATTTGGGTTTTTTTTGGTAAAAATGTATGTCATTCATCAATTTATAAGCAAATATTTTGATAATTTGACAAGGTTTGAAACGAAGGTTCAGATTTCATTAAAATGTCTACTTTTATAACAGTTTTATAAGGGGCACAAATTCGCGATTAAATAAAATTATCTGAAGATTTACAAGTTTGATCAATGCCATTATAGAAACGAATTTAATGCACGAGCAAGCTTGCGAGCGATTGCTTAATTAAATGAGTGTCTAAGTTTATAAACCATGCTTTATCTACAACGAATACAAAACAGAATTTAAATCCAATTTTATTTTTAAAAAATTTGACATCTGTCAACTTCTCTAGACACTCGTTTTAATTAAACACTCGCTCGCAAGATTAGCTCGTGCTTAATTAAACTCCTAATTAAAATGGCGTTTAAAAAACTTAATAAATAATATACTATTGACTGATAATGACGTTTTTTTTAAATCACCAAAATTTTTCTTTGAACATATTGGAAAAAATTATTATTTTATTATTAAGGGATGAATACAATTTTCAAGAAACCGTTAAGTTTGCGCACGTTTACAAGGAATGTTATTATTGAACAGACTGTTGTTAAAGTTTGATTTATAATTAAGACGTTCTAATAAACAAGTATAATTGATATTTCCTTTTTGTTAAATTAAGTTTCGAACTTAATACATAATAAACTACAACAAGAAATATTAATAAAAAAATACATGTTTTCCGAAAATTTAATTTAATTTAATTTAATTTAATCTCGAACCGATTCAGAAATAATAATAATAAAACATCTTCTGGGGCTCCCCTTTAGGGGCCATAAAAGAATCTTAACATTAATATTAAGAGCTCATAGATATATAGGCCCAACAACCAATATTTTGATATCAGAACTTAAAAAATAGAAGATTTTTTAAATCACCCTAATGTTTATGCTGAATAAATCATTACCTACCCTAAACAAATTTGATTTAAAATAATGAAACTTTAGACTCGAGTAGAATAGTAGAAGAACGCGTGAGTGTTCTTAGGTTGTTCAAAACAATAGCATCCAATAGCATCCCTTTGTTTGGGCGTCAATAAATAAATTACAAGTAACCGCGTTACGCCCACATTGCATTCGCATATTTTTTTGAACTGTTTTTAATCGTATTAAGCGGGATTTACTTTGTTAGTTTAATACGTGAGTATTGTTTTAAACAAACGAATGAATAGGCTCTAGTTAACTACCTAAACAAATATGTACTCAACTAATTTAAGCTTGTTGATTTTTGATTTAAATAATTAATTATGAGGATTTTTACAAGTAAAAAGTGACTTGTCAAAACCGATCAATATTAGATCTGTCAGATGTCCAAGGCAATAGTTGATTTTGACAATATATTGCCGCGTATCGCATTTCTATTGGTGAATATAATATAACATACTTTTTCCCAACCTGACATCTCTTAAACGGTTTAACCTCAATTTTGTTTTTATTTTTTAGCGTTCTTCTTGAATGGCTTGAACTGGAATCAAGGATGAGGAATATGGGCTATCCAAGAAGTATCCGCAAAGAAGAGGACCTTATAATACCTGAATAATTTAGCAACTAGGAAAGATCTTGTCAACAAAAAATAATTATTTTAACCTTGTTATCAATTCGTAAATGTTGTACCCAAAATAATTATCGTACAAATACTTACTTCTGTGTATAATAACAATAATTATAATGTTAATAAGTAGGTACTATTAGAATAAACTGTGCAACGCATTAAGTTACATGTATTTTATGTTGAGAGTTGGAGATAAAATGTTTAAGTACTATGTATATTTTATTAAATTATATCCTTAGCAAAGCATTAACAATTATTAGTATTAATCTAGAAACAATATTAAACCAACATTTTTTAGTATTTAGATAGATAAACTAAACAATTTTTACGCCGTATGCAATACTATGCATATACTTACCCTGGTAACGTCACATGGTATACCTATGTATAGTAAATTTAAAAGTAAACTACGTACACGTCATCAATAAAACAAAAATTTTACGCATTGGTACCAACACTAAATGACTAAATCGAAGTCTGTAATTGAATATTTGAATGCATTTTAACCAAATTAAGTTGGCAACAATTGTGATGTTGTCATGTTTACATTCAAATTTTTCATATTTAAATGACACATAAAAAAGAATTTGACGTTTTAGAATTTCGAAGCTGTCAGTTGTGTTTTTGAATATTTTGTTTAATTCGTGTATTATTTCGTTTATTTTGTTTGTTGTTTGTGTTATTTTATATCGTTTAAGTTTTCATTGCCGTTTTTGTGTTTGTTATATATCGTTTTTTTGTGTTTCCTATATTTAAAATGCCGAAGCATTTAAATAGTCGGAGTCAAGAGTTGGTGTCATCCTTAATACGCTATTTTGAGGCAGAACGGGATAATAATGGACCTTTGTTACCTTTAACAGCTGTTAGAGAGGTAAATAGGATTATTATTAATTATATATTAGAATATTTAACAAAATATATGTTGGATACATGAAATAATAATATATATACCAGAGACTGACTTTAGATGGCAAAATTTTTGGGTTTTATATCAGAAAATGTCTTTAAAAATGGCTAAAAACATACTTTTGGCGGTGCATCATATAGGTTATAAAAACTCGGACTTTTGACATTTTGGTATTATTCATGTAAACGCCATCTATCGCCCTGTAGTTGCACTACCACTTTCCCTTGATGCAAGGATTTTAGCATCACATTGACAACCGTGCCCGATCAGCTGATTGATGACGTGTACGTAGTTTACTTTTAAATTTACTATAAGTATATGCATATACTTACATATACCATGGCCGTATGTCACATACAAAGAACATCTTTGTTCACATACTTCCACAAGTATGTGGCCGTATGTCACTTCCACAAGTAGTATTCCATTTTACAGGAACTGGGTATTTTTTCGATATAAAAAAATCACATGTAGGTATTATTTCATCGGTACAATGTATGTATGTACATTATTTCTTAAACTTTTTTATACATCCTGACAAACACTCTGTATTCCGTCTTTCGAGGTTATACATGGGTATTTTACTTATTTTTAGAGGTTTCTTTAATTTTGATTGCGACGTTGCCAAGTTTCCAAAAAAAGACTCGGGGATGATTGTTTTTGTTCTTTTGCGGTGTTTCTAAGGAAATCACAGAACTTGGAAGTTTTTTAAATCTTTAAGATAGCTTCAGTTAGTTATCTTGCACTATTTAACGTTGTTGCTAAATTACAAAAAGTTACAGAATCTGGGATTTTTTCCAAATCTTACCTTGCACTATTAAGTGGTGTTGGCAAATTTATACTATACTACTTTGTTTGATTTTTTATAATTTTTTGTTTTTTTAATATTATTTTTTCAAAATTCCCAGAACCTAGAACTTTTTTTACAACGTTGCAAAATTTCCTTAAATTCAAAGCATCTAGAATGTTTGTTTCTGTTTTATGCGGTGTTGCCAACTTTCTAAATAAATCCCAGAACTAGGATACCTACCAGTTGCCAAATTTACAAAAATTTACAGAAACTGGGAATTTTTTAAAATCTTTAGGATACCTTCAGTAGTTCTTGCAAATGCAAATAATTATTAAGCGGCGTTGGCAAATTTATACATACTTTTTTGGTTTTTATAGTTTTTTGTTTTCTTATTTTAATTTTCCAAAATTCCCTAGCAATTCTTTTACAACGTTGCAAAATTTCCTTAAATTCCAAGGATCTAGAATTTTTTTTGTTTTTTAAGATGTTGCCAAATTTTTAAAAAGTCATCTTGCACTATTTAGCTGTGTTGCCAAATAAATATTTAAATAATGACATAGGTATATAATTGCGAAAAGGTGTTTGTGTGGTTGTTTGTATGCCCAGTTCAGCTAGCTGCAGATGCCTTGATTGTTTTGTATCATATTTCGGCCTAGGGGCGTCCATAAACCTCGTAACGCTAAAAAAGGTTTAAATTGAAGATATATTTCCGAATATTTTTGGAATAATCTGATTAAAATAAGCATTTTTATTCGATTTAGTTTGTCACGTGACGTTAATTAACGTCATTATAATAAACCCTCCCCTCCCCTCCACAAGCGTCACGAGATTTATGGTTTTATAGTTTTTTAAACTTAAATTCCTAACTCGGAAACAAATTATAAAGTTATAAATCGAAAATAATAATATTGAAGTAAAATTATAAATGCAAAAATTATTTTTGTCAGTGTGCATTGTATATTTATAAAACTCAGTGTATTTTGTAGTTTTACATATGGTAAAATATTTTGTTGCAACTTAAACCCACAATTATCGCGTTAAGCTCGAAAACATCAATAACTTACAATAAACACACAATTTTGCAAAATTGTTTTTAATCGAGTCGGTCTGGTAATTTTAGTTGCGCTCGGTTGGCAACGCTTGACAGCTGACAGTGATTTATTTTCTGGCTTGACGTGTGGTATCTGAGATAAAGAAAAATCGAATTAGCATTTTGTGTTGGTGTTGTCGATTGTGTTCCAACGAATTATGTTTACAATTGAAGACAATAAACTCGATTGAATGTGCATCGCGGCAGTTTTGGTGTGGCCTTGTTCTGTTCCGTCCCTTTGACACCTTACACACCCAGTACATCCTTAAAAGTTGCTGTTTAGACAGTTTTGCGGTTTGATTGAAGTTCTAAGGAAGTTTTGGAAGAATCAGGTGAAAACCATGCAGGCGATAAAATGTGTCGTAGTAGGCGACGGGTGAGTTTTTAATTTTGTTTTACTGTGAGAACTTCTTCAAGCTCAATAACATACGTCTTGTCCCGTATCCTCAGTGAGCAAGACAAAGATATCAGCTGCTTCCGTACGTCGTTGATAAGCTTCGGAGCGCATAACCTTTGGATTAAATCACTTGTGGATGGTTACTAATAAAAAAATATGTAATTACATTAGTATTTTTCAGTTTTATTAGTGAATCACGTATATTTCATGCACGATTCGCATCCGCAGCAGCTGCTGATAATAAAGATTTACTTGTTGGCAATTCAACTCGTTTTATTTTACAGTGGTTTTCATTCATGGGAATTTATTAAATAAAACGTAATGATAGCAATTTAGCTCATGACATAATTAAAGTACTCTTTTGTTTGTCGAGCGGGTTCAACGTGTATAACTACCAAAGGATGCATAAATAAAACAAATGCTAGTTTTTATTCCGATTTGCTTACTTGCATAAAAACTATTAATTACATCCACATTCTTATTTCCCACTGTTTATTAATTACATTGTCATATTTTTATGCTATGTTCTTGTAATTTATGGTAATTAAACCATTCGTTAATGCATAGACATATTAGGTGTTATTTTATTCAACATCCATTTTATTTAAACGGTGGGCGAAATTTTACTTCTTCCACCAGTGAGTCAAATATCATTTCGCCCACGGGCTGAAGTTAAAATTGGAAAAAAGTGAGGTTAAAACTTCTTGACAGCTGTCAGATGTCAAATAAAGTATCTAATTAATTTTGAATGTTGGGACTTTAGACTCGTTTTCCCAATAATTGTATACAATTATTGTGGAAATAAATATTTATGTTTTTCCTTGAAATTGTTTATCATTCAACAAATACATACATATAAAATTGTTTAATGGTTTCAAATGTTAAAATTATAAAGTAGTTAAATTCTAGAAGCTAGTTTTATAGTTTAAATTGTTGAAATTTTCCACAAAATGTTTAACCAAATACCTATCTGAAGGTCAAAATTAGTTTTTTGTAATTATTTTGCAATAGGTATTTATATTGATCAATAATTATGATAAAAAATTTACATAATTATGATAAAAAATTTACATTTTTTTCAAGCCTGAATTTTCATATTATAAGACTAGAGTCTATATATGTACCTAGAAAGACTTTATATTAATACCTACTAATATTAAGTTCAAAAGTAAATTTATTATTAAAATCGGTTTAGGAATAATTAAAATGTCATGTCAGTAATATAGTATATTATGTATCTAGTTTGATAAACGCCATTTTAGTCGCGAATTTAATTTAGACACGACCGAGCTTGCGAGCGAGTGCTTAATCAAATAAGTGACTAAAAATATAATAGGTACTTAATATTATCCTAAAAATAATTTAAATTAAATATTAACTGATAAATTTAAAAAATCTGACTTTTTTTATAAAATCATAACTATTTTAAACCCTGTTGACTATACCAACTTCATCAAATATGTCGTTAGACCTTATAACACTGGACGCGTACGGTGGCAGATCAGTTTCAAGGGAAATCTAATAAGATATCTTTAATTAATATTTTTGAAGTATAATTTTTGTATTATGTTAAACCATTTAGGGCCGTATACAGAAACGTTGATTTATTTATATCAACTGATTTAGCATATCAGTGGATATAGGTTTTTGCACGACATGGCAACGCAGTATTTTTCTTTAAAAACTGTTGTTTTATAAAATTAATTGGGTAATAATTAAAATTTAATCAAGATTTATTTGACATTTGCTCGGACATTTGTGACATTTGGTTTTAACCATAGAAAATAATTTCGCTACTATAAGTAATGTTTTACTAGATTTGTTTTTTGGCCAATCAAATCATTTAAAGAAAGCTTTTCTCACATGTGAAACACAATAATTTTTCTATGTCCCTTTTATTTTTTATTAATTTCAAATATAAAACAAAATAACCTAAAAACGTTTTTGACAGCTGTTAAAATAATTACTTTTATCTTATTCTTTTAATTTTTAACGTATAAGTTACCTAATTAAAATTAATAAACTTACCTTCTCAATTTAAATAAAGGCACTAAAAATTAGAATTTAGTATACAAACACAATTAACTGTGTTCTAAATGATATTTAGACAAACATATGCAAATATATTTGTATATATACAATACAATACAAATTTTGAAACGAATGTCAAACGATGCTGTCAATTTCTTTTCACACAGAAATGTCACTTTTCATTTGTGTTTTGTCTTGCCAATGAAAAGATTCATTTTCTAAGCATCAATGCCATTATAAAATGTGACTTTTACATAGTGGTCGTAGAAAATAGTTATTTGTTTTGCAAGTGTTGAAAAGCGACTTTTTCATGCGAGTGTTTAAGTTGCTCACGAGGCTGTAAGGCCGAGTGTGCATTAAAACGAGCTTGAAGAAAGTTTTTCTCCCAAGTATAACACAATGTTTTTTCTGCGACCCTTTTATTTTTTATTATTTTTAAATACAAATTTGTTTAAACAAAATAACCTAAAAACTTTTTTGACAGCTGAATGTCAAACGATGATGTCAATTTCTTTTCACACAGACCTATCACTTTTCACACAGAAATGTCACTTTACATTCGTGTTTTGCCTTGACAATGAAAAGATTCATTTTCTAAGCATCAATGCCATTACGAAATGTGACTTTTACATAGTGCACGGTGCTGTTCTGAGAGGTGATTTTTGGACTTTCTGTGAAACCTAATTTTTTTTTATATTCTTGTTAATTAGGTCATAACTAAAATTTTAAGAGCAAAATAAAAAAAATTTGACGGTTTGAATTGTTTTAATTGGCTGTTTATTAAAAATATTATGCACTCTTTCAATTATCCAATTAAAACTAGCGATTTAATTTAAATATTTAATATTTGCATAACTAAAAAAAGGTTTTTACAATTTTTTTTATATATTTTACTGTTTTGTTGCAATAAACGTTCAAACTTTTAATCTAACCTTTGACGTATACATTTATGTTCCCTTAATTAATAGGTATATCCTTAAAGGTTGCCATGAATCTATTAAAAATTTATTTGACGTTTGAATTGTCATTTTCAGTATACGTATTCTATAATTTTTGTTTAGTTTTTTAAAGTGTTTTTTATAAACAAAAATGAAAAATTGTAGTAAAAGTTACGAAGAAATTCATGAAATTTAACGAAGGACCGGTTTATTCATCTTTAGTAAAATTTATCGGGCCGATAACTTTCATGTCTTGGCAATATCTAGTATCCAAAGAAATTATTCGTCAAATACTTAAATCAAAAATGAATAAATCGGCCCTAAATAAAATGTGGCACCCTTAGAATTATTGTTTAACCTTAAATTAAAACTTTAAACGTGTATTACAACAAAACAGTAAAAGATATAAAAAATGTATAGACCTTTTTTTAGGAAATTAACTAATCTTTAATCTGATTTAAAAAGTTATGATAATATTTAAATAAAATCGAAAGTTTTAATTGGAGAATTGAAAGTGTGCATACATATTTTTAATAAACATCCAATTAAAACAAAATTAACCGTCAATTTTTTTTTATTTTGCTCTTAAAATTTTAGATATGACTTAATTAACAAGAATATAAAAAAAATTAGGTTTCAGAGAAAGTCCAAAAATCACCTCTCAGAACAGCACCGTGAGTGGTCATAGAAAAAATATATTCTAAATTTCACTTATTATTAATATACATTTTGCTCAAAATTTCATATTAAAAAATACTCTCTTGGAATAACAATAATATTACCTAGTAATATTTGTAAATTTATCTAAATAACGATATTTTTCCAGTGCCGTCGGTAAGACATGCCTGCTCATTTCGTACACGACGAACGCGTTTCCGGGCGAGTACATTCCGACCGTGTTCGACAACTACTCGGCCAACGTGATGGTGGATGGCAAGCCCATCAACCTCGGGCTGTGGGATACGGCCGGTCAAGAAGATTACGACAGGCTGAGGCCGCTCTCCTATCCGCAGACGGACGTCTTCCTGATCTGCTTCTCGCTGGTCAATCCGGCCTCGTTCGAGAACGTGCGGGCAAAGGTAAGAGATCAGTGTTTTTTGGTCTATAAAAAAATCTCGTTATATACAGGGTGAGTTTTAAGTTGACGCGTTCCTTTTAACAGTGTGTAGAAATCAAATAAACAAATAAATATTTTAAGTAGGTAACTTTTTTATCAAAACTCAAAAATATAAAAGTTATAGCCCATCAAAGTTTAATTAAATTTTAAGCCGGTCCTGGCTATTGTTAACGAAAAACATAACCATAAAAATATCAAAATAAACAATGCAAAATGTCATATTTGACAACAAACATAACCATTTAAATCAAATTGACATTTTGCAATAAAAAATGTCATTATTTACTTAAGTTGCAGCATTTGCATTTTGACGACACTCTCCATAAATTAGTAACATTTCCACTAATTCATTATTGCTATAATTATGAACCATTTTTAACAATAATTGAGGCACAAAAAAACTGACATTTTTCATTGCTAAATGGTTATGTTTGTTGTCTTAGATGACATTTAAATGCAAATGCAAATTTGCATTGTTTATTTTGTTATTTTTATTTTTATGGTTATGTTTTTCGTTAACAATAGCCAGGACCGGCTCAAAATTTAATTAAACTTAGAAGGCCTATAACTATCTTATTTTTGAGTTTTGATAAAAAAGTTACTTAAAATATTTATTTGTTTATCTGATTTCTACACGCTGTTAAAAGGAACGCGTCAACTTAAAACTCACCCTGTATACAGGGTAAGTAGATGTTGGTAAAAAAATCGCACTTTATCTAAAAAAAATCAGATAATTATTTCCAATGAAAAAGTGATATATCATTTTTATTGAAATTTTTTTAAATCATTTTTCATCATTTTTATTGTCTAAGGTTAATTTGCAATTTTGAGTTTTCTGAAAATTTTAGACTGAAAACTTTTTGTTCATTAAATGAACGAAAACTGATGAAAAATGATTTTTAACAAAAAGTTTTCAGTCTAAAATTTTCAGAAAACTCAAAATTGCAAATTAACCTTAGACAATAAAAATGATGAAAAATAAATGAAGAGAAAAAAAAATATATTTTACAAATTTTGTAAAATATATTTTTTTTCTTTGTTACCCCATCCGTGGAAATACTGTTGGTTTTGTATGTATAGGGTGTTTACATTTTTTTTAAATATCGTTATATACAGGGTGTCTTGAAATTCCAAGGCAATCTGTCCTTTGTTGAAAAAATGGTATCTTGGAATTTCAAGAGGGATTTACCTTTACCCTTTATATAAATATAAATAGTTATTTATGTCATTAGGTTAAGAAGTAAGGCTTTTTGTGCTAAGCTCAAGGTTTGAAGACTGACACCTAGCGGAGGCCTACAATTGAGCGAAGCACAAAAAGGCGCTTCTCGGCCGAATGGCATACAACATTTTATCTCCAAAGCACTTTATATAGGTCAATTTAATTCAACATCAAAGCGGCCTAACCTCACTTTTTTAGAATCTCATTTATTTATTAGCTAAAGATTACATTAAATGTACAATAATTATTATTGCTTTTAGAAGCAGTAATAGTTTGACAATACCTAGCTATAGATACCTACCTATTTAAATAAATAGGTAGGTATCTAATTTCAATTTGTTTGGATTTTTACTTAAAAAATAGGTAGTTTGGAATGTTTAAGCTGTGTTTAACATTTAATTTCACTGAAAACTTAAAGCAAATTAAAACTTAAAGATAATTTAAATCGTAGAAAAAGAATCGTGCGTTTTCTTGGTTGCCTAACCTCACTTTTTGTTTTATTATTCATATTTAATTTTACAATAATTTAATGAAAAATATTAAACATTAACAGTAAAACAAACAAATTAGTGCTTATTATAAATAAATTAAACCAGTTTAGTACGTTAATTTCTTAGAAAAGGATTAATTTGTTAAAATAATACCCCTAGCGAGAAAAAATCGAACTAATTACTTGCCTCATAAAAATTTGTATCGGCCTAGGCCATAACAAGGTATTTATTTATCGAATGTTGACAACAATAAAGTTTAAATTATAGACCGCGTGGAGATAAAATTTATTATTGGCTTAAAAATGTTTAGTAAATAGAAACTAATTATAATTATAATTAATTTATTTAGTGGTATCCAGAAGTGAGACATCACTGTCCCAACACGCCCATTATTTTGGTTGGCACCAAACTGGATTTGCGTGATGACAGACAAACAATTGAAAAGCTGAAAGATAAAAAATTGTCACCAATCACTTATCCACAGGTAAGAACAATGATATTTCTGTGGGTAAAAGGCATAAGGGGATAAGTCAAAAAAATCAATTTTTCGGTAGAGACTTAAACGTGTTCGCATTAATTCAGGAAATATATTTATGGCGAACATACCCTTTTGCTAGCATATGACATGTGCTGGCAAAAGGATATATCCGCTAACCATAAATGTATTTCCTAAATTAATGCGAACACGTTTAAGGCACTAATAAAAAATTGATTTTTTTGACTTATCCCCTTATGCCTTTTACCCACAGATTTTTATCGAGTTTTTTTAAATAATTAGGTTTTAAATTTTCTTTTCTTTTATTTACAAATTATATACATTTGTTATGACCCCAGCTTCCTTTAAATAGCTTCAAAACACAGTGTTGCCAAGTTTTTAAACTTAAATGCTTTATAACTCAAAACTACTTGATTCCACAAATTTTTCTAAATCATTTGCTTAAATCGCCTAGGTAAAGCTTACATATAAGTAAAAAATGCATTTAACAATAATAAACACAAAATGATGGTATTTTTTATTTTATAATGCAAGAATTTGGCAACGTCGTATTTTTACCATGATAGCCAAAAGGGTTTTATTATACGCTAAAGAAGTATCGATGGTAGCGCCACCAGCTGTCAAACGCTTATGTTACAAACGAGTTTTTTTTAGATTAAAGCCGGAAAATGTTAAAAAATATAGAAAAAAAACCGTGGCTCGATTTGTTGTGTTGTTGGGTGTATTTCGAGAGGAAATCCTGGGTTGAGTTTCCACCGGTTTTCCAATAAACAGTCTTAATCTGAATGAAGAAATAAATTGCATACAGTATCTGTAAATATAAATTGTACCTACTGGATACAATAAATACACATTTAAGTAGTGATTAACGTGGAAAGGGTAAACATTTCAATTCAGTAAAAATCGTCAAACAAATAAGTCGTCTAAATTTAAACAGCATTTAGCATTATTAAAAGCGTTAAGAAAATCTCCACTCAACGGTAAAATACCATTATATTATGAATTTTCGAATAAATTTCGTTTAAATAAGCGATTAAATCACTAGAACTATTTAACAGAGATTAAATTTTAGCCTCCTTATTGGATTTTTGTTTACGATTTTATGGTGTTATTAACAAGTTTTAACAAACAATAAAAATTAAGTTATCTAGTTTACGAAATATCAATTATTACTTATTACATACCTTAAATTAATGGAATTTTCTTTAAAAAAATATTTATAAATTTTGACACATACGTCAGATTTTATGAATTGTCAAATAGTTTTCTTTAATTCGAGAAATAATCATATATTATATCACGAGAACTATGAATTTAATCGGTTAAACTAGGCTCAATAGTTTTTTGTTTGGTTTTTCTTGGAAATAGTTTCATGCAAAATAATTAAAAAATAAAACCCCTCGACCGCTATGCGGTCTCCTGATTTTATTAAATTGTTTTGCATTCAACATTTTCCAAGAAAAACCAAACAAAAAACTACTGAGCCTAGTTTAACCGATTAAATTCATAGTTCTCGTGATATAATATATGACAATTCTTAAATTCACTCAATGCTATCAACGGCCACCAGATGGCGCGCGCGTTGCAAAAACCCGATACTTCTTTAGCGTACAGACATACTAATATGTAGATAGACCATTTTGTATGTTTTTTTGTAGTTGTATACCAATTGTTTTGACATTCTTTTTTTTCCATTGTGGATTTTACATGCCAAAACAATTGGGATGGTGTCGGCACTCCATTGTTTGGTGATTTTTTAGGGATTGGCGATGGCGAAAGAAATTAGCGCAGTAAAGTATTTGGAATGTTCCGCCTTGACGCAGAAGGGACTTAAGACAGTGTTCGACGAGGCGATCAGGGCCGTCTTGTGCCCCGTCATGATGGTCAAGAAGCCAAAAAAGTGTAGAATTTTATAATCCAAGAAAACTGCCCATGATTAATATCAAATTACTTCCTTTTTAAACCAACAACACTAAAATCGAAATCTTATCTCGAACACTCTTGAGGTCGGTGGTTTTGGTAATAAATTAATTGTTTGTTCGCAGATGTGGTTTAAAAAGGATGTTTGCACATTTTTCAAGCATACAAAAAATTAATTGGGAGTGCGACGGTGATTCACTACTGTTTTTCGCGAGAGGTAACATTACGTCTGCATTTATCTAGGTAACGAGTAATAAATAATATTAAGGCGCTCGAGAACTTTTGCCAATCTATCTACGTGTTCATAATAATTAATTTTCTTCTATTAATTCGTTGTTTTATCTATCAGTCTCCTCTGAAATGTTTAAGTACAAACATTATTATTATTATCATTGAATTTTGTTGAATGTAGATATATTATATTTTCTATTTGAAGTTTATTGTTCGATTAGTTAAGTGAGGTTAGAGACTGACGGATCAAATCAAACCTCAAAATCAGGTCGCCCAAGCGGCCGCTGCTGCCAACTGACAAAAATTAAATGGCACTAATTCAAAGTATAGAGAGTTAATTTACAAGTGTTTAGTTAAGGAGTTACTTTGTTTTACGTGCTCTTCAGGTAGACAAACTTATCTGGATCTGCTTGGTGTAAATAATCTAGGCTTACATTTAAATATACGGTGGGTGGCCGAATTATCAAAGACACTGGCAATTTATTTGAAGTTTGGATGGATTTAGTGAGTTTTTTATTTTGTATATTTGCCGTTGGTACTATATCTTTTTAAAATGTAGATTTAAAAAAAATTATGGGATGTTTCATTGAATTAATTACAAAAAAGTAACGTACTAAATAAAAAACTTAATTGTCAGTTATTTTTCTCACTGAATCATTCAAACTTCTAAATTTTAAGAAACTGCTACTGTCCTTAATAATATGGCAACCCACTGTACTATGCTCCACACCCAAAAGTCCCACCAAGACATTTGATCACAAATTATTGAGGTAAGTTTAACGCTAATTTCCTAAAATATATGATTTTTTAAAAATTGTTTTTTTCTAAAAAAGTCTTGGCTTTTTAATAAAAATTCATTCTTTGGCCCTCAAAAATTCAATTAAGTGCCTTGCGGCAATTTTTTTTAAAGCTGAGAATTTTTAAATTATATATGTCATTTTCACAATGAGGTTATTTTTTGGTTCTTGTTCTTAATTCTGATCACAAATATGTGTTCAGAGGAATGACCTTTAGCTTAATTTATATGCTTATTTTTTGTTTTCATATAATTAAGGTTATGTATCTGTCCAATTAACGCCAATTTTACCTTTTCAAAAAATAATGTAATGTATGTACCTATCCTAAAACAACATTTTTAGTGTAAAAAAATCTCAGCTTAAAAAAAATCAAATTCAAAATAAAAATTGCGAAAAATCGCATTTGTAACCTTAATTGAACTTTTGAGAATCTGCTTATAATTTGGAATGAATATTTTCATTGCAAAGCTAAGAATTTTTTAATTATTTTTATTTAAATGTCAAGGGGGGACTTTTAGTTGTGGGGCACAGTACTTTATGTTAATTGTTTATTAGTATTTTAAAATTTTATTAATGGAGAATTCTACTTATATTATATTGATTGTAATTAATGGAGTTGTCGACGATACGATACATTCTATATTTTTATAATTGCTCTGCTTATTTCAATTACTATTATTATTGTTATTATTATTATTATTGTCCAAGCGGTACAGTTTATACGAATTTATTCTTTTCCAATGTGCAATATGGTCTATAACTGCTTGTTTTTAAGGTGTTGTCTTTTATTCGCCTCTAAAATTATCGTGACGTCATTAATTGATTTATAAGACGACCTATTATATACAAATAGGTGCCTTGGCTTTATTGTTTTTTTTTTAATTGAATTATATCTGGAACTGAATTGTGTTAAATTATGGACCATCTTACACAAACAAGTACTAATTAAAATACCGTCAAGTCCATGTGCATATTTTGATGAATTTTAACTGAGAGTCCTACAATATTGCCAACTTTTTAATTGTACGCCAATTTAGTGTTATTCATGTGAGTTTAACCATCATGTTGATGTTTTAAAAAATGTACGATAAGAAATGACTACAGTGTTGTTTAAAAATGTCTATTATTATTACTACTAAAAAAATTAAATTGAATTAACAGTAAGTGTAAGATTGTGTCATAACGGGACTGTGTGTATTTTGTAAATACTAAATAGGTAATAATATAAGATTTATAGAATAAAAAAATGTCAACAAAATGTATTTGTTTTATTTTATTAATTAATTAATTAATTCAACATGCATAACTGGATAACTTAAATACTTCATTGTATTTCATTACAATTCTAAATCAACTAATGGTAGATGTTTTTTAACAATAATTATTACGAAAGTTTTAAAATTATTCTGGTACTATTTTTATCCAAGTCTCTTCCTCTTCCCCATCCTCATTTGGTATTCTAACTTTTACCAATTGAATTGGTCCATCAGGAGTCTCAATTATTTGAGTTTCACCATCTAAAAAAAAATTAAAAATTGTTATCAAAATGAACAATATTTTGTAGAAAAATATACTGGTCGGTACTGAAAAAGTTCATTGATGAAGTCATGGACTTTTTAATAGGTTGCTACAATAATACAAATTTCTCATTTGCTTTATTTAACAACATTTACCTTATTACCATTTTACCCTGTAATTTTATTTGGTCTTTCATCATTTAAGCTTGTCCACCGTTTAGCTCGCCATTGTTTTACCTTGTTAATTGAGCTTTTTGTCATTATAGCTTTAAGCTATTAGCTTGTCATCATTTTATCTTGTAGTACATTTAGTTGCTGTCATTTACATCAATATCAATTTTACCTTGACGTTATTTGAGTTTGCCATCTTATTACCTTGATTTGAGCTTGTCATCATTTTTTATTGTCTGTTTAGCTTGTCATAACCAATATTTTGCCTTGTCATCATCAATATTTAACACAGACCACCAAAACAAATGGACGGATTTGTTTACGTTTAAAAAGCGAGTAAAGCATAGTTTCACATTCTAAACACCGTCGAAAGAAACACGGCTCCCAACGTTGTCAGAAGTATAGATTACACGCCTTTTTGAACGTTCATCATAACATAATGAACATTAATAATTACAAGGAATTCGTTTGAATAATAAAAAAATGTAAAAAGGATTTTTTCATCATTTTCTTTAGATATTTTTCTCTAAGTATTTAAAGAAAGTAAATCATTTTATAATTATTAAAATTAAATTTTAACAACGTTGGTAAATTTGTCATATATGACAGCATAGAAAAAGGTTGACAGCTTGTTGTTTTGTGTTTTAGTTTGTGTATTTCTATCGTGTTTAAGTTAATTATGGAGTTTAAATACATAATATTTTACTAAAAATAACAATACATGGAAATATCGTTTGTAAGTACCTACCTACTTATTATTTTTTTAATCCCAATACGTCACTGGAAGAAAACATAAAATTCTATCGCCAATTTAACGCTTAGAATGTGACCGTTTGTTGACGTCACTGGAAGAAAACATAAAATTCTATCTCCAATTTGACGCTTATACTGTGACCGTTTGTTGACCGCAAACGAATCATTGTTATTGAATGGCAATGCGCCGTCCATTTGTTTTGGTGGTCTGTGATATTTAATATTAATTTAAGCTTGTCAAAATATTGGACTGTCATTTTAGCTTGCTATCAATTTACATTATTATTTAAAATTGTCATTATGTCTTTTTATTTTGTCATCAGCAATATTTTGGCTTATTGTTATTTTAGGTTGTAATAATTTTACCTTGTCGTTATATGAGTTTGTTGTCATTTTACCTTTTATATTGTTGTCATTTTTGCTTGTAATCATTAATATTTAATCTTGTCTTAATTTAAGCTTGCCAAAATATTAGACTGTCGTTATTTGAGCTTGCCATTAATTTACCTTTTCGTTATTTAAAATTGTCATCATTGTCTTTTTAGCTTGTCATATCAATATTTTGGCTTATCGTCATTTTAGGTTGTCATAATTTTACCTTGTAAACCTTTTATATTGTCGTTCTTTTAGCTTGTCATCATCAATAATATTTAAGCTTGTCTTAATTTAAGCTTGACAAAATATTAGAATGTCATCATTTTAGCTTGCCAGTAATTTACATTGTTTTATTTAAAAATGTCATCATTTAACATTGACTTTTTGGATTGTCATCACCAAAATTTTGGCTTATCAACATTTTAGGTTGACATAATTTAATCTTGTCGTTATTTGAGTGTGTTGTCATTTTACCTTGTCAACCTTTAATATTGTCGTCATTTTAGCTGGTCATCATCAATATTTAATCTTGTCTTATTTTATGCTTGTCAAAGTATTAGACTGTCGTTATTTCAGCTTGTCATCGTTTTAACTTGTCGTTATTTAAAATTGTCATAATTTAACATTGTCTTTTTAGGTTGTCATCGCAAATATTTTGGCTTATCGTCATTTTAAGTTGTCATAATTTTACTTTGTCGTTATTTGAGTTTGTTGTCATTTTACCTTGTCAACCTTTTATATTGTCATCATCAATATTTAATCTTGTCTTAATTTAAGCTTGTCAAAATTTAAGACTTGTTATTTTAGCTTGTCATCAATTTACCTTGTCGTTATTTAAAAATGTCATCATTTAACATTGTCTTTTTGGATTGTCATCACCAAAATTTTGGCTTATCAACATTTTAGGTTGACATAATTTAATCTTGTCGTTATTTGAGTTTGTTCTCATTTTACCTTTTACCTTTTAACCTTTTATATTGTTGTCATCAATATTTAATTTCGTCTTAAATTAAGCTTGACAAAATATTAGAATGTCATCATTTAAGCTTGCCATCAATTTACCTTGTCGTTATTTAAAATTGTAATCATTTTACATTGTCTTTTTATTTTGTCATTACCAATATTTTGGCTTATTGTCATTTTAAGTTGTCATAATTTTACCTTGACGTTATTTGAGTTTATTATCATTTTACCTGGCAACCTTTTGTATTCTTGTCAATTTAGCTGTCATCATCAATTTTTAACCTTTTCTTAATTAAAGTTTGTCAAAATATTAGACTGTCGTCATTATACTTTTTCGTTATACCCTGTCATCGTCAATATTTTAGCTTGCCATCATTTTACCATGTCTTTTTGTTAATATGGCTTGTTACATAAGATAGTCATAATTTTACATTGCCGCTATTTGAGCTTGTCATTTTAAATTGTCGACTTTTTCTCTTTTCTTTATTTAATACTTGCAACCTTTTGCCATTTAAGATTGATAATTTTACATATTTTCTTTTAGCTTGTCAAAATATTAGACTGTCATCATGTTACCTTGTTATTTAAGATTATCATCATTTTACATGGTCGTTTTAGCAATCAATTTTTTAGCTTGCCATAATTTTACCTTGTTGCTATTTGACATTTTAACTTGTCAATCTTTTATATTGTTGTCATTTAAGAAATCATTTCAGGCTGAAAAAAATTTTAGCCTTTTGCATATTCTCTTCATCATCAATATTTAATCTTGTGATCGTTTTGAAAATTTTAGGAATCTTAAAATTCTTAAAAATATAAAGATAATTATATAAATTATAATTCAAGAATTTTGGAAAATTTAATAATAATCATCTTAAGGCGCCCTTTCTTTCTCACGCTTAGCCACCTATTTCTTACGCCACAAACTTAATAATACCGTCGAATTTCAATGGGTACTCACTTGCCAACGCTTCGGAGGTGATGATCTCCTCGTAGTCCTCGTCGGTGCCGATGACCACCTGCTCGATCTCGTCCACGATCTCGGCGTCCTGCTGGTCGTCGTCGTCGTCGGAGCCGCCGGCGGAGGCGGCGGCGAAGTTGATCTGCTGCCCGTCGATGAGGATGTGCTCGGCGCCGTCGCCGTCCGCGATGTACAGCTTCGCTTCCGAGACGGAGGACGCGTCGACGATCTCCATCTCGCCGGCCGCGTTCACAGTGACGAGCTGATCGTCGTCGGTGGTGAGCCGCGGCTGGTTCACCACGATCGTGTCGTTCAGGTGCCCCTGCGACTGCATGTGCTGGTAGAGCAAAGGCTTGCGCATGAACCCGGCGCCGCACACCAGGCACTCGTACGGCTTCTTGTCCGAATGCACGAATCTGAAGTTTAAAGTCAAATTACAGCGTGCGACTAAACAAGTTTTTATTATTGATAACTTTATGAAGGCAATTTGTTAAGAACTCCTTAAACCAACAGGTTTTGGTAAATAGAAATTTTAGATTACTTCTGCTTTAATTTTATGAACTCACAAAGTAAAATGTTTTTAAACTTGGCTAAATTACCCTTATATTTAATACAACATATCTATTAAAGAATGACAATTTTAATATGATATTAAAACTGAATATACAGTGTTGGTCATAATTTTTACAACCACTGTAAAAAAAATCGCCTTTATTATTCTTTATGAAATTTTGGATACGTGTCGAGGGTTTTTCGAGAAAATATTTTTAAAGCCCTTTTATTTAATAATGAAAAAACGTTCGAAAAATAACTTTTAGGGTAATTTTTTTTAAGTAAATAAAAAATATGCTTATACTAACATATATATGTTAGTATACCGCGAAAATTTTGTACAAATTAAACGAACAGTAACGAAGATACAGCGCTTCAAAGTCGGCAAAAATGGCCCCTTTTTGATCATTTTGCTGAAAAGTGGATATTTTTGACGACTTTAAATCGCTGTATCTTCGTTGCTGTTTATTTGATTTGTACAAAATTTTCAGGGTATACTAACAAAAATACGGTCTTTAACAGCATATTTTTTATTTACTTAAAAAAAATTTCCTAAAAGTTATTTTTTGAACGTTTTTCATTATTAAATAAAAGGGCTTTAAAAATATTTTCTCGAAAAACCCTCGAACACGTAAACTGAGATATAAGTTTAAGTATTTTTATCCAAAATTTCATAAAGAATAATAAAGGCGATTTAAAGTTAGATTTTTTTTACAGTGGTTGCAAAAGTTATGGCCAACACTGTACAGGGTGTCCCAAATTGGTTGTCCGTATAGGCTATCTCAGTAAATATAAATGCTAGAAAAATAAGAGATATACCTATTTTTTCAATTTTTGCCAATTTTGACAAATGCTTGTAGCCTCGTTAATATTTGAGTTACGAATACAGGTTTAAAATATTAGGTAGGCACTTTTTATCATAGACTTCATTAGTGTAGACAGATTTTTTTTAGCTCTTTTAGGTTAAGAGATATGACCCTATACGGACAACCACTTTGGGACACCCTGTACATTATACAATAAGTAAAAAAAACGCAAGAAATATTTCATAAAAGTAGAGAATCTCTAGAGATAATTTTAATAATTGACAGGTGTAGACGGGACAAGTTTAATATTTTTTTGTCCTGTCCACACCTTTCAATTATTAAAATTATGTCTACTTTTATAAAATATTTCTTGCGTTTTTTTATTTAATTTATAACCTAATAAAAGAAGAATATTTTTGACAAATTTGATGGCAAAATATTATATAATAAATAATCTACAATTTTTTTTAAAAACAGTGGCGTGCTTGAAATGGCCGTATAGTTAAATATACGTAATAAGTGTTCTTTAACATACTTAAAACTAAAAAAATATTTATTTGTAATAAAAAGTTTTAGAATTATTTCGGCAAAACGGTTAAAAATCTAAAAACGCATTAAAAAAATAATAGCATTGATTTTTTAAATTAAAATATAGTTAAATATACGCAATAAGTCTTCCTTAAAACAGTTAAAAACAAACAAATAAATATTTAGTGTAATAAAATATTATTAAATTACTTCTGCAAAACGGTAAAAAAACATTTATTTTTTTTATTAAAATATAGTTCATTCAACTAAGTTAAATATACGTAATAAATATTTATTTGTAATTAAAAGTTATAAAATTATTTATGCAAAACGGTTAAAAAACTAAAAACTCATTAAAAAATAAAAATAAATATTTTTTTAAAATTAAAATATAGTTAAATATACGTAAAAAGCTTTCCTTAACACAGTTAAAAACAAAAAATAAATATTTATTTGTAATAAAATGTTACGGATTACAAAAATAAAACTAGTTTATTATTATATTATTAAAATATAGGTAAATATACGTAATAAGTCTTTCTTAACGCAGTTTAAACGAAAAAAAAAATGTAATTGTGGCAGCGCGTCACCGAGGATTAATTATTACATAACTTCCTTACTTTGTTATAAGGGAATATGATTATTCAGTAATTGATCAGGCACCGAGAAGAGTGGTAGTACCTGTTATCGCTATTACTTATTGAGTTTAAATACACGTACTAAGTCTTCCTTAACTCGGTCAAAACGGAAAAAAATATTTATTTGTAATAAAAAATTACAGAATTATTTTCCCAAAACGGTAAAAAATCTAAAAACGCATTAAAAGAAATTAAAAATATTATATTTTTTAATTAATTAATCAATTAATATTTATTTGTTTTAAAATGTTATAGAATTATTTCCGCAAAACGGTTAAAAATCTAAAAACGCATTAAAAAAGTAAAAATGTTATTTTTTCAATTAAAATATAGTTAAAAATACGTTAGTTTACGCAGTTAAAAAAAATAATTTCCAATACAAAGTTAAATAACTATTTCCGAAAAAATCTAAAAACCCATTAAAATATAAAAACCATTTTCCATTCAACATAAGTCTTACCTAATATTAAAAATAATGTCAAAATCGTAATCCTCGCTTCGAAAAACGTAGAAATAATTTTTTTATTAAGGATTTTACATAAAAATCAATGTTACATTTTACTTAAATTTGTTCTTGAAAACAGTATTTCACAAAACGGAAAAAAATCTAAAAACGCATTAAAAAAAATTAAAAATATATTTTTCAATTAATTAATCAATTAATATTTAAATATACGTAATAAGTTTTTCTAACACAGTTGAAAATAAAAAATAAATATTTTTTTTGTATTAAAATGTTATAGAATTATTTCCGCAAAACGGTTAAAAATCTAAAAACGCATTAAAGAAGTAAAAATATTATTTTTTCAATTAAAATATAGTTAAAAATACGTTAGTTAACTCAGTTAAAAAAAATAATTTCCAAAGTTAAATAACTATTTCCGAAAAAATCAACAATCGCATAAAAATATAATAACCATTTTCTATTCCACATAAGTCTTATCTAATGTTAAAAATATTGTCAAAATCGTAATCCTCGCTTCGAAAAACGTATAAATAATTTTTTATTGAGGATTTTACATAAAAATCAATGTTACATTTTACTTAAATTTGCTCTTGATAACAGTATTTCACTTCATGTAAAAAATTGTTTAAACCACGAGAAAACCTATAAAATGTTAAAAACATGAAAATTATGCATGGACAAAATAAATCTGAAGACGTACCTGTGAGCGTTCCTGTTGTCCCTGCTGTTGAACGCTTTGCCGCACACCTCGCACAAGAACGGCTTCTCGCCGGTGTGGATCCGACGGTGCTTCTTAAAGTGCTCCGGGTACACGAACGTTGCCTCGCAAACGTCGCATTTGAACGGCCTTTCGCCGGTATGAGCAGCTTTCACGTGGTAATCGAGAAGGCGGCGTCTCTTGAAACCTGTTCGCGAAAAAGTACGAGTTGATAAACATGTTCAGCAAATCGCGATCCTGAAAGTTAGTTGTCGCCTTTTATGTTTTTTATTATTTTTAAATAATCCGTTCTGTAGTGAAATAATATAAATTATATATATACTTTCAAAAAAATCTAACCTCCTTAACCTATAAGAAAAAAAATTGAAAGCAAAAGTACTGTCTGTCCACTCTAAGTTGGCGGAACTAAGGAATTTTGTTGTTTAGATATTAAAGAATTGTCGTACTGTGTGCTTTTAAAACAGATTTTATATTAATAATAATACTAGTATATATTATATACTAGTATTATTTATAATATAAAATCTGTTTTAAAAGCACCCAGTACGACAATTCTTTAATATCTAAACAACAAAATTCCTTAGTTCCGCCAACTTAGAGTGGACAGACAGTAGGTACCTTTTCCGCATTCCTTGCAGATGTAGCGCTTGTCGTCGTAATGCGTGGCCCTCTTGTGCGACTGGAGGTTCGAGCGTTGGCTGAAGGTGGCGCCGCACATCTCGCACTGGTACGGCCGCTCGCCGGTGTGGATGCGCTCGTGGTCGCGGATCTCGGCCTTGCGCGCGAACGCCTTGCCGCACAGCCCGCACACGAACGGCTTGTAGCCGGTGTGAACGATGGAGTGCACCTATAGGAAATTAGGTTACAACAATAGACTTTTTTTCCGCTACCCCTACACACGTTGACATGCTGCGACTTTTGCGTTTTAGCCGAATTTCGAGAAAATAAAGTGCGAATTGCAACAAAGCCTTTAGTTTAAATATTTGTTACAATTCGGTAAATTAAGAAAGACGGGGCATCATTTTAATGTAAATAACGAATTAATTCGTGTGAATAAACTCCAGGGCTCCCAAGGCTAAATTACAAATTTTATTTAGGAATTTAGGTTTTTTTTGAAAAAATAAAGTATGCAAATGAATTTGTGTAATTAAATAAAAATAAAATTAAAAGTGAGGTAAAATTATAAAGGGTCACCTGATAAATTCTTATTTGGGGGTAGGTACACGCCAAAACAAGACAGCTTTTCCTCCATTATTTTTGCATTGAAGCTACTGTTTTTTAATAAAAAAAAATATGAAATTTTTTGACAAAACCAGGAAACCACTGGATGTCACTGACCTATCCTATATATCATTATTGTTTTTACCTCTAAAAACAATGATATTATTCATCCAAGCAAAAAAGAAACAGGTATTATATAATATCAAGCAAAATTTTAAACTTGGTCAAAATCGGATAGTAGGTACTTTGTTATCATTGATTACTGACAGTTCTGTTGTCAAAAATTCAGTTTTTAAGTTCTAAATGCATTTTTGTTAAAATAATTTATATCTTGTCCAAAAATGTATTTTAAACTTTAAAATTGATTTTAAAAAATTAAATTAAATTTTTGGACTTGTACTGTTCTTATTCTCACCGACTCAATTGTAATGTGGATTTTAATACTTAAAAATCTCTTAACTGTTAAGACTTAACAAAATATGAAGTTTGCAAAATACAGCAAAACATTTTTTAGATTGTTTACTATTGTAGCTGTCATTTAAAAGAAAATTAAAAATCCTTTTGTTTCATAACACGGTATATTTTTGTCTAAAAATGACAATTTTGTAGAAGATTTTTTTGTCGTTTTTGAAGAAAAATTTTAGTTGTGATATTATATCATTTTAAAAAGAATGTAATAAAATGGAACCTAAAAATATATATTTTTAAATTACTTTTTAAAAAAGATTTTTTTTAGCACGACAACTACATTAATTAAACGCAGTCAAGTTCATACTTATGACACTAGGAACAGAAATGATTTTTATATAAACACATGTAACACCTCTAGAACTTTCAACATATATAAAAATATGTGATAATTTAAATCTTTTTAAGAAAGTGTATATAAACTTTGTTTTAAGAATATTTTGTGTATATTTAAAGTTTGTATGAAAATAGCTTTTGCTAAATAAAGTTATATTATTATTATTATTAATTTTACGAGTTTTAGGTGTTGGAGCCCTGTAATTCGTGCCAACCCTAAAAAATATTAAAAATATGACTTACCTCTAGATTGTGTGCGGAGCCGAACTGCTTGCCGCACAAGTGGCAAGCGAACTCCTTGATCCCCGAGTGCGTCCTCTCGTGCTGCGTCAAGTTCTGGTGGCTGAGAAAGGACTTGGGACAGTGCTGGCACCTGTAGGGCCTCGGTCTTACTTCGTGCGTCTTCTCGTGCGCCTTGTACGTGTACTTGCTGGCGAAATCCTTGCCGCACAGGCCGCACACGTACGGGCGCACGCCCAGGTGCGTGTTGACGTGCTCGTCGAGCAGGTTCTTGCTGCTGTACTTTTTGCCGCACGTCTCGCACGTCCACGCCTTGTTCTGCGGGTAGTGCATCCTGCGGTGGATCCTGAACAGCCGCAGGTTGTTGAAGATCCTGTTGCACACCTAGTGTTGCAAACAAGGAAAAGTTCGGTCGAAAAGTTGTTGGAAAAGTTCGGAACCCCCTATGAAAAGTTGGAAAAGTTGGAAAAGTCATTAGGTGGGAACCAATGAACAATGAGTTGAATTTTTTTTGGTAGATAATTTGGTCAAAATTCGATATAAATCGCTAGATTTGAAGTGTTTTTAGTAAAGCATGCTAAAAGCATTGTTTTTTGGAATAACATTTTGTCAAACTTTATCAAAAATGGTGTCTGCTAACAGCATTTTCTATTATATGTATAAAGATTCTTTTATTATAACGTATTTTAAATTTATACACAGTATAAAAGAAATAATATTTTTTTTAATTATGGAAATTTGCAACTGAAAATATAAAAGTGGAAAAGAAGAAAGTTTTCTTTTCTTTTTCTTTTTAAATTTTTACTTGTAAATTTCCATAATTTTTAACAACAATAAATTTAATAATTTTTTTGTAATTATTTTTATTTTGTAGGTATGTGTTTTTTTATTGTGTGTATAAATTTCTATTCCTTTTTACTTAAAAAATATGATTTTTTTAAATTCAAACCTAGTTTATTTTTGTTGTTATTATGTTGTCTGTTCATTTTATTTTGTTATTTTGTTACGTATGTATAAATACATAAGAAATAAATTATTTTAATACATTGACAAGCATTATTTATGTTTTATACGTTTACATTACAAAAAACTCAACTTTTCCAACTTTTCCGAACTTTTCCGAAAAATAAAACCCACTCTCTTAAAATGAATTAGTCAAAAATAACTAATTATAAGTCATATTTGACTAATTGTCATAGCAAAAAAGCAGTCACTAATAATTAGTCAAATTCCACTGAATGAAATAGTCAAATTAGTAAATTTAAATTTAAAAAAAGTTTTGACCCAGTCTGGGATTGAACTCAGGTCTGTCACTTGACAAGTTTGTCAAGCTAACCTCATAACGCATTCGGCTGTCAGCCGCTCTTATAAAAATAAATTTTATGCACGATGACATTATAATATGACAATTATAACAAAAATTCTTTGACGTAAACTTCTTTTTATAGCCCGCGGGCGTTATTATGACCCAGCGGGCTATAATGAAACGTCAAAAATTAAAAACAACAATGTTACACCATTTGATATATTCGAAGTAAGTTTTTTCGTATAAAGATTTTGATTTTTCCGGCAGCAGGCCGCAATTTTTCGCCTTTTCAGCTGCTTCCTCAATTTCATTCATCTTTAAACTTTAAAACTGAATGATATCAGTTGACATTATAATATGACAATTATAACGAAAATTCTTTGACGTAAACGTCTTTAAAAACAATAATATATTAAAAATAATAATATATTAATCGTGCATAAAGTTTTGTATGCATTGCTGGCATAACTGGTTTTTATGGTCCTACGACGCTTTTCTAGCCATCGCGCTAACGCGCTCGGGCTCGAAATAGCGCCTCGGAACATAAAAACCTTATTATGCCCTTAATACATAAATAACTATTATTTGTCAATAAATATTGTTCATAATATTTTAAAGTTTAATATATTATTTGTGTTGCTGTTTTGAGCTAAACTTTTTGCAACTTTATTTGTTTTATGGGTCATTTAATCATGGAGAGGTATACCTATGCTTTTAATTCAAACAATACTTTGTTGTTGGCCGTAAACGATTAAAGAAATTAGTTACTTTTAACTGTCAGAAATAGTCAAATATGGTGACTAATCTTAAATTAGTCAAACTTTAACTATTTACGTAGTAAAAAATAACTATTTAAAAGTGAAAACGACTATTTTATTAGTAAAAAATGCTGGTACTAATTCAAATAGTAGAATTTTGACTATTTCATTTTTAAGCCGGTTTTCCACCAAACGGACAAAACAAAAACAACACAAACTCATGTCGAATAAAACAAAACTGCAACTTTTTGCAAACTTTTTGAAGGCTGGCGTGTTTTGCGACAGTTTGAGTTTTGTTTTTCGAGTCCCGCTCGGAAGCGGTAACATCAAAAGGTTTCGACGTGTTTTGAAACTCGAGTCTGTTTAGTGGAAACGGTCGTGTTGTGTTTTTTGTTTTCGACTTTTATTTTATTTTGTTAGTCTGGATACGAATTTCATACTAAATTGGTAGGTAAGTAAGAAACATATTTTTTTCCAAGTGTATAATAATATTCATATTATATTCCTCATAAGTCTATATAGAAATACTACAATGTAGTTTTTTTAAATTTTGTAACCTCATTTTTAGATTAGGTTTAACTGTCAGACGACAAAATGTCACCATTATTGTTCGGCGGTCAATAATAATTTGACTTTTGAACTAGTACAATAATGTAGTGACTACTAGTTCAAAAGTCAAATTATTATTGACCGCCGAACAATAATGGTGACATTTTGTCGTCTGACAGTTAAACCTAACCTAAAAATGAGGTTACAAAATTTCAAAAAAATATTGAAATTTAGAGCTTGAAAAAAATAGTATATAAAACACGGCAGTATAAACCAGCCACAACTAAGAATAAGAAAATCTTTTTCTCTAAACATGTTGGTTGATACTGAAAAAGTGTGTTCTGACATAATCACGACAACTAGTGGAAAAGGACCGAAAACAAAAACAAAACTCGAACAAAACTTAGTTTGCTTGATGGAAACAAGAGTTTCGGGTTTGTTTCAGTTTTGTTTTTGATTTGCAAGTTTTTAAAAACACAAACAAACCCAAACTCAACTGTCCGTTTGGTGGAAAACCGGCTTTAGAGAGCAACTTTTGAAAAATTTCAACTTTTCATGAAAAGTTGCAACCCACCTCGCACTGGAAGTCGCCCTCCTCGGCGGCCACGTGGTCGTCCAGGTGCGCGGAGAGCTCGTTGCGCTTGCGGAAGTCCATGCCGCACACGTCGCAGATGTAGAGGCGCGTGCCGTGCGATATCTTCATGTGCGCCGAGATGGCTTTGGCCTCGCCGGCCACGGTCTCGTCGCCCTGGCACAGCAGGCACGTGTACAGGTTGCCGTCGCGCTCGACTATCGGCACGTTCAGCAGCGCGTCCTCTTTCACGTCCTCGCCGCCGTTCGCGATCGCGACGCTTTTGCGCTTGAGGATGTTCGGTTTTTCCGGGCCCTGCTGAGAGGTGCCCTCTTCCGATATCGGCTCCAGCTTCACCCGCACCCCGTCTGGATCAACGATTATTTTGTGTTAATTTGACAATTTTTTGATACTTTACATCGACTACCTGTATATGTTTTTGACGTTTTTTTGCAACAGTTTATAAATTGGCATTTTGTAGGTTATTACACTTTGAGTTTAAAAGATAGTACACCTCGTGTCAAAATTAACGTATAAATTGGCATTTTTTAGGTTATTACACTTTGAGCTTGAAAGATATCTTACTATATAGTACACTTCGTGTCAAAATTAACGCAGAACTAGTAAAAAAACCCTACTCTAAAACGCCTTTACCATTCTTTATAAAATTTTGGATAAAAATACTTTAACTTATATCTCAGTTTGCGTGTTCAAGGGTTTTTCGAGAAAATATCCTTAAAGCCCTTTTATTTAATAATAAAAAAACTTTATAATCTGTGACTTTATAGGACAATTAATAATAAATTTTGGCACACACACTACATTTAACAAATGCAACTTTTGTTTTGGACTATACAAGGTGAGTTTTAAGTTGACGCGTTCCTTTTAACAGTGTGTAGAAATCAGCTAGACAAATAAATATTTCAAATAACTTTTTTATCAAAACTCAAAAATAAAAAAGTTATAGCCCATCAAAATTTAATTAAATTTTAAGCCGATCCTGGCTATTGTTAACGAAAAACATAACCATAAAAATATCAAAATAAACAATGGAAAATGTCATCTATGACAACAAACATAAGTCGTTTTTTCGCGTAAATACTATGTAATACTACGGTTAAATAAGTCATGACGTCACAGTTAATTCATATAACCATGGTTAGGCTTCTAACATTTGACATTTGTTTACTTGTTCATAACCTATAATTTTTGAAATGTGTTTTTACCTATTTATATTTAATTTCTATGCTTTTACCGGTGTAAATAAATTTCTTTGCCTCTTTTTATACCTAGTATATTCTTTTTCTATAGGTACTAGTTTTTTTAATACACGTTATCCAATTCTCCTACATGTTTAATACAAAATAAGGAAGAATATAAAAAAACCTGCATATAATTCCTCCACTTGTGGAGATTCACAATATGGAGCACCCTATCATTTATTTTTACTGACAACACCCCGTTTACCATTTTAATACAAAGTTTAAATTCGGTTTAAGAGCAATTGTACCTACTTAAAATATTTTAAATTTCAAATGTAAACAACTTCTTGACAGATCGAAACAGAGAAAAATATATATTAAAAAGAGAAAGACTATTAACCACGTTGAATAACTAGCTCAGCGATATAGTTTTATGGTCTGGTATTTGTGACGTCATAGTTTAGGATTTTTGAACGCACTCTAAACGCAAAAATGCCTATTAACTATTAACCACGGTTAAGTTTAATAACCATAGTATTTCATGGTATTTACGCGAAAAAACGACTATAACCATTTAAATCTAATTGACATTTTGCAATAAAAAATGTCATTATTTACTTAAGTTGCAGCATTTGCATTTTGACAACACTCTCCATAAATTAGTAACATTTCCACTAATTCATTATTGCTATAATTATGAACCATTTTTAACAATAATTGAAGCACAAAAAAACTGACATTTTTCATTGCTAAATGTCATTTTGATTTAAATGGTTATGTTTGTTGTCATAGATGACATTTTGCATTGTTTATTTTGTTATTTTTATTTTTATGGTTATGTTTTAGCCAGGACGAGGCTCAAAATTTAATTAAACTTGGAAGGCCTATAACTCTCTTATTTTTCAGTTTTGATAAAAAAATTACTTAAAATATTTATTTATTTATCTGATTTCTACACGCTGTTAAAAGGAACGCGTCAACTTAAAACTCACCCTGTATATTGACAATCGTTTTTTTAATGAAAAAAAAAATTAGTTCTGGGTTATAAAGTTGAGTGGGTGTGGCTCCCTTTAAAAGCATTTTTTTTTATATTTTGCGTTGTAAAATCACCCCTTAGAATCATTGAAAGGAACTCAGGTTTCTGGTTTTGATTAGATAATTTTTCAATTTTTATTATTTCTAATCTTTCCAAAATCAAAACAAACATATTTTACAATTTTTACCGTTTTATTTTCGAACCGTTAAATCTCTAATCCCACAACTCTAGGGACCCTAAATTTATAATTTCTACATTGAGTAAAACAAAATTATTTAGCGGATGCAGCCAAAATTTCATCAAAATTGTTTTTAGTTTTTGTTTAGAATTTTTTGTTACTATTGGCATTGTTAATTTTAATTCTAACATTTAAATGAAAGTATAAAATTAGTAAAATTAAGGCATTGAACAGGAGTACCTATTTGAAAAATAGCAAAGTAATAATACAGTACAAATGTCTCAAATTGCGAATAAATAAAAACTTTACTTTTATTAACCAGGCAAAATTACTCCCTTAAATAATTTCTAAATATTTTAAACTTCATAACTCATTATAGTATAAGCTACCGCAAATTGTATTCGGAACCAATCAAAGTCCTAATAATAGGGATTGGATTGGTTCTGGTAGATTACTAATATTTTATATCATCAATCATGCAGGACTACACTTTTTTTACATAAAAAAACAAAAACAAAATATACAAGAGTATATATTTTAGGGTTATTTTTATTTTTTTAAATGTATTTCTTTAATGTCAAATTAAACTTTTATCAAAACTTCAAGTTAATTCTTAAACAATGTTTTAAACAATTATTTAAAAAAAAAACAATAAAATTATATCAAATATAAATTTAAAGGTTTTAAACCTACTTTAAAATTTAGGTTTATAACCCACCAAAATGTTTCACCTAAAATATTACCTATCCAGAAATTTTTTGTCAGAATATTTTTATTAACTTTCATCAATTTTTAAACATTACTATTATTATTAGTAAGAGTTGTATTAGAAAACCTTTTGTACTATGCTTCACATCAAAAAGTTCCACTTTGACATTTAAATAAGAAATGCAGTGAAATAATTGAGGTTAAATATGTCAGTTTAACGCTATAGCTAGAGTTTTTAAAATTAATACAATACATGTTATTTTTGTGTTTTAAATAAAGACCTTTACACAAAACCTTGTATTGCATTATTTAAAAAAAAATAAGATAAAAGAACCTCATTCACCCATTGTGACAATTAATAAAGTTGATTTTTTAAAAATTAAATTAATTAATAAAATAAAAATATCTATTTACCCATAATGTTACGCTCTGCAACAGCTGCGGCTCTAACCAAAATATCATCGGAACTGTCTTGGGAAGCATCATAATCGGAATCGGAGGAGTGATCCACAGCCCCCGAATCCATTATGTCACTGGCAGCACTACTGACAAAGTCCCTGTAATTTTCGGACATTTCTATATCGTCTTTCTCAACCTCGTCTTCAGTCCCGTGAATTTTACCCAACTCCATTTCAATGTCCTCAATGGTTTGGTAGGTTTTATCCTGAGACACATAAAAGTTATTTTACAGTTAATATGCTGAAATGTTTAGCTGAAGGTGCACTTACATTTCCTGTATCTTCATCAGATGATGGTATATCCAAAATCTTCTTTGGCACTTCACTTTCCTGAACTGTATCCATATCGTGTTTTTCTTCATCTTCCTCTTCCCCATCATCATCATCGTCCTTATCAGGTTGTTTGCGGCTCAAAACACTGGATTTTATTTGAGACACTCTATTTGTAAGCTCGTCAACTTCGTTGCAAAGCTTGAAACATTTTTTGCACAACAGTTGAGTCTGAGCATTTTCTTCCTTGACCTCCCTGTCCAATAGTTGCGAAACTATCGGAGCCAAGGGTCTTCCAGAATTTGTAGTCACCTATAACACATTTATAATCTTCGTGAACAGGATGCTTCTTTTTTATTTGTAGAGAAGAGTGAATTAGACAAAAGTTGCGTAATTACAAGCTTATTAAAATGGCATTTAAAGATTTTAAAAAAATGCGATTCTCAAATAATTTGAGAAAAACTGTTAGGTATTATTATATTTCTGGAAATTAAAAAAAAAGTGGGTTTACATTTAAAAGTAGGTACACATTTATATACATTTTTTTACAATTCGTGATTATTTTGCTCACTAGATTTTGACCACCATCTTTAGTTTTTCCTATAGCAGTGTCATGTTTGTTGTTTAGTTTGTACCAAAACAGTGAAGGGGTGAAAGCAGAGGTCGGTATAAAATGGAAAACAGCGCCGCTAGTGGTGAAAAAAGAAAACCTAATTTGTGCGATAAAAAAAAAGTTATGGCGGTCATTATCAAAACAAAAGATTGTAACTCAAAATATAGTAATGATTCTTCACATTTGTGAGCACAGAAATCTATTATTCATATTTCTATGTTTGTGAGTAATCCGAACATAACATACATAAATGTAATTATTTCTATGATAACGTATATTGCGTTTAAAATAGCGAATGTGTCATTAATTCAAAGTCATGCTGTATTTTCGTTTCAGGAATTTAATTTTTGATGGCAACATTGCACATCAGAAAGTGTCGCCAATAAGAGAATATAAATTTTTTTTGATTTGCTGATATTTTTTTCGTTTCTTGACTGGAGTGGTTTAACTAGTTTTATACAGGGTGTTTGTACTTAAAAGAGACAACGTAATTGAGACACTTTTTTTATTTAAGCCTTTGTTTTGGAATTATTGACTTGTTTATATCTAGCCATAAATAACAATGAGGTTTATCAAAAACATTTTTATGTTTTAAAATAAACCTCTTTATCTTTATACAGTATGTCCACAGATAAGTTACAAAGAGCAAAAAACTTTTTGCTTGATTTCATAACCTCAGAATATGTCACACATTAATAATGTGACATTATTTTTATTGTCTATGGTTAATTTGCAATTTTGTTATATAAAAATCATTTTTGCGCCATTTTATGCATTTTTTATACTTTTTCATAATTTAAATTAATAACATTCATGGAGATTTCTACCTTCTGTGGTAATAACATTTATTTGTTAAAAAAATGACAAATTAACGAAAACTGACCAAAAATGATTTTTATTAAAAAAATGGTGCTGAGATAAAAAAAATATTGGCAAAAATTTTGGAGGTTTAGTTGGCAAATACTAGGGACCCTAAATTTATAATTGGCTACATTAAGTAAAACAAATTAATTTAGTGGAAAATATAATTGTGGTTAATAACCACTGGTTATATTGTGTTTATAAATTTTGAAATGACTCAAATAAAATACCTAGATGACTTTACGGCATTCCCAGTAGAAATATACATGTATGTAATTTTGTCCACTTAAACCTTATAAATACTTATTAATACTTGTAGCTTGTTAATAATGATTATATTACTTCAAAAATTTATTTTAGCCGGTTAATCTTTTCCTCCTCTGTGGCATTGGGAAGTATTTCATCATGTTTTGTTTTTAAAATTTAATTTTGTTTATAATTTTCTGTTATCTATGGCATTGTTTATTATAATTCTGACATTTAAATGTCAAAGTATTTAAAATTAAGGCTTTGGGCAGGAGCACCAATTTTAAACATTAAAAATACCAAAGTATATTGACATACAGTGCCAACTTAATCATATGTGTCAAATTCTGAATAAATCCAAACTGTATAAGTGATTCGCTAGCTTCATTTGATATTCTAGAAATACTTTATTTTTAATACAGTTATATAAGTCAACATGCTAGGCAGCTATACCTTGCATAAATTGCTATTTTATAATGATTACAAATATGATCTGATGATATAACATTCCATGACTATATCATCTGATCATATTTGTACCTAATTATATTATAAAATAAGTAAATACTACATTAAATTAAAAATTTTAAAGACAAAACATAAACAATAACAATAAACTGTCTTAAAACAGCAATTTATGCAAGATATATAGCTGTCTAGCATGTTGACTTAAGTAAGATATATAACTGTATTAAAAAGAATGCTTTCTAAAATTGTTTATTTTAAATATGTAAGGACGGCCATGCAACATGGGTACCTAATAATAATGCGTTGAATAAAAACTTTCATTGCATAACGTACAAGTTTTTAATAATAATGTTAATGTAAACTTAATATTAATATAGGGTGCATAAATCCACCAATAGACAAATGCTTTAAAAAATAACCTATAAAAGTTTTTTTTCCACATAGGTATAACCCCAAAATTACATAAGTAATTAAGGAGCTTGTATGATGTATTTCCACCCTTTTAATCATTCAGTTAGTGTGGTTTAGATTGTTTATTATACGGCAATAATTGTACTTACATTTTTGTTGAATATTTGAATAGAATTCGTTACAGAAACACAAGCGCCCTGACAAATCAGGCACAGAGGGGCCGTGGCTGACATCCTGGAAAAAATGAACACAAAATCAAACACGTAAATCGCAAATAACCGGCGCTATTTCATGCAGGCACTATATTTACCATTCCCAATAAATAAAATTATAAATAGGTTAAACGTTAATTGAAGTAAAATGTCTGTCGTACTGCATTACATAAATTTCGACAAAAAAAAGCACTTTCTACGTAATTTCAAGTTAAATCAAATGATGACAACCTAAATATTGTGTTTACCTTTTAAACTGTGCGAAATTATTTAGGGAAACATTTATTTTCGCCTAAAACAGGGCTGCTAACAAATGCTGCCAAGCTTCAGAAATGACGCGACGAAAAAAGAATCGAGGTGCGTTTTGGCCGTTGAATGTTCTGCGATCGAAGCGCGCAATCGCTGTACAAAATGGCGATATGTTACGAAATATTTTTTAAACCATTTCCCTACTTTCGGGGGCTGTTGGGGCTCGAAATTTCTATTAGAAATAATGGGGATATGTATTTTTTCGTTTAAGTTAAATTCCCTACAATAGTGTTATGGAATTTTTACAGGGCCTCCAATCGTAATTTCAATGGTGAGTCATTTCCTCTACACCCATGGCGCCAAATTCAAATTTACAAATAAAACAACGATTAGTTTTTATTATGTTTTATTCTTAAAGTTACTACATGTCTTCTGTGCTCCACTTGTAGGACTCTTCGAGGGCCGCTTTCTTGGAATTTTGCACTGTAAACCACTTCTTTTCATAACCACTGGATCTGTCCACACCATCCCATCTGTAGCCAGGTTTTATGCCGAATCTGTTGGGCATGTACTCCCCCATGTACTCCGGTTTCTCTGGTACCCCGGCTTCCACAGCAACTTTCTTCTTTTTCTTCCTAATATAAGCCAACATAGGATCCCCATCTCTCTCCTGATCTTTCAAATACCTCTCTAAATCCTCATCATCTGCGTACCTGGCTAAAGGTTTGCTCATCTCGTGTAACTCTTCAGCTATCCTTTCGTTGCAATCCTCAACTTGCTTCAATCCTTTACCCCACTTACTGTACTTCTCCTTATTCTCCCTTTCTCTTCTTTGCTTTAAGGCTTCTTCTTCAGGATCCACAACTTTTTTATTTCTCACCACTGTTTGTGCATTTTGTCCCGAAACTTCAGCCGACATGTTTTTGAAGATCGCGTCTTCCCTTTGCTTCAGAGCTTGCGTTTCTTTAACCAAGTCCAGAGCATTTTGAAGGCCCGCCTTTTTACCGTCAAGCGTTTTCTTCATTTTGTCGTCTTCAGAATGTTTTTTTCTTGGTGGAGATGAGTCTGGCCATTCCCCCCATCTTGATTTTTTTGGTTGGTTGTCTCCTTTAGATGTTTTTCTTCTTGGTGGTGAATTATCTTCATTTCTGCTGCTTCTAGGTGAATTATCTTCATTTTTTTTTCTTCTTGGTGGAGACATATCCTTATTTTTTCTCCTAGGAGGAGAAATATCTTCATTTTTACCTCTTCTTGGTGGTGAAATATCTTTATTAGCATTTCTTCTGGGTGGTGATATATCTTCAATATTTCTTCTCCTTGGAGGTGAACTGTCTTTATTTCTCCTCCTGGGAGGTGATATATCACCTTCCAATTGACTATCCCTTCCATTAGGCGAATTATCTTCATTTCTTTCTTGTTTTATTCTTCGAGGAGGAGATTTATCCTCTGAAATCTTTCTACTTTTTCTAGGAGGCGAATTACCTTCGTTTCTTCTTCTGGGAGGTGATTCATCACTGTCAGGCTCTACTTTAATCTTCCTTGGCGGTGATTTATCTTCACTCCTCTTCCGTCTTCTCGGTGGGGACTCATCATTATCAATTTTATTCTGTTTTTTAGACGGTAGACTTTCATATCTACTCAAATCTTTTTTACTTTTGGACGCTTCTTTCTGCCCGAGCTTAAAATTAAATCCAGTGCTTGAGGCTGTAGTGGTGGTTGCCTCTCCTATGGGCTTCCATAGTTTATTGTTTTGATCATCGACTCGTAGTGATGGCGGTCGTTCATCTATTACAGCCACAATTTGAGGCGCATCTTCGTTTTCTCCGTTAATATCTTCTTGTACTTCTTGTGTGAAGCCGTAGTCGTCATCGTCGATGATCTTAACACTAAAAAAATACGATATTTATGAATAAAAATATTTCAATACTAAAAATTCAATTGCACCTTTTTGACACTGCTTTATCCTTCTTTTTGCGTTTCTTTTTATCACCAGGATTTTTCCCTATACCTAAATATTTCTTTAAATATTCTTTCTGATTAATCGCTGACATTTGATTTGTTTGAGGTTATGTTTGTTTGTAAACGCGACAAAACGTCAGAAAAGTCCTATACACAAATATTTATTGGCTTAAATTAATTTTTCCAGCAATAAGTAGGCAGATTTTTATTATTCTGTCGGTAAATATGCATAATTGAATGGTTTTATTAATACAATACGATTATAAGCTTTTGAGGACTGCTGGTGGTGTAATCTGGGTCACCTACATACAGACGCAAAAATCAACATAACCTAGAGAATTATGACAGTTGGCGCCAAGCTGTTTACAGGTTATAAACACGGTTTAGCAATAAATAAGCTGTTTATTATTATTCTGTCAGTAAATGAGCAAAATTTAATGATTTTGTTAATACAATACAAATATAAGCGTTTGAGGACTGCTGGTGGTGTAATAGGGGTCACCTACATACAGGCGCAAAAATCAACATAACCTAGAGAATTATGACAGTTGGCGCCAAGCTGTTTACAGGTTATAAACACAGTTCAAAGTTATGATTTTCCAGTAAAATTACTCTATTAAACTACTGATTAACGCAATGGAGGAACAAAGTACGTATAAAACCAATAAAATCCGTCATAAAACATGTAATTCAAATTTTCTAGGGCTTTTAAAAAGAAAGAGAAAGGCAACACTAGAGAAAAACACAACATTGCTATGTGCGGTTTGCACGGACTTGGCGGAGCTGTATGTGGCTGAAGGCAGGTACCAATCAGCGGTTGAGGAATACAGAACCCTGGCGGAATTGTATAAAAATGAAAAAAAGCTGATAAACTATGCACAAGCTAATAGAGGAATTGGGGAGGCTTATTTGGGTTTACATCAGTTTGAGAGGGCTTTGGAGTATTTGCACATTTATTTAGGTAGGGTGTTTATGAGTTTAATAGTTTTAGATGTTACCAATGTTGTTTTTTAGATGTTGCTAAAACTGAACAAGATAAACTTGAAGAACAAAGGGCGTTAGCCACAATTGGGCATTCGTATTTGTCCTGGTATTTGGATACAACAGTAAATCCTGATAAAAACTATCTTCATAAAGCTTTTAAAATATTTATGAAGAGTCTTATAGTGTGCGAAAGGTATTTGTAATAAATTTTATATTTACAATTTTTAATTTATTTTGTTTTAGTTTGACAAACATAGGTAAACTGGAGAAAGTTGATATGACAGCTAGGTTATTTTGTAACTTGGGGGTGGTGCAGGACTGTCTGGGGAATTTCAATAAGGCCCTGGAGTTACTTACAAAGTCTATCCAAATTTGTAAGCAACATGATATTTTCGAACAACTACACAGAGGCTATATTGCCATAGCTAGTTTGTATGACAAAACAGGAGATTACAAGAATGTTATACAGAACTATAATTTGGCCATTATTGTTGCAAGTAAGTGAAAATTTTAATTTTTTGTATAATGGCTAAAAAATAATGTTTTTGAGTATTTAACATAATCAAATTTATGATTTTTTATCTGTATGTTACAGTTTTAATATCTAGCTTAATTTGACATTATTAAGACAGACATATCTAGCCCAACTTTACATTCTTAAGGTAGTTCTATCTAGCTTAATTTTACATTTCTAAAACAGTATATCTTAAGCTTATTATTAAAATAGTAATATAATTAACATAGTTAACATTCTTAAAACAATTATAGTGGTTAAATTTACAGCTATACATGAGTTCACATTGTTTATTTTTTGTGTTATACCTACACTGCCGTGCTTAATGAAAACGCCGTAACCAACAATTTTGCGATTTTTGGTTTACGGCATTTTCTACTAGAACAATTTATCCTGCGTCTATCCCCGGTACTCAAAAAACCGTATAGATATAGATACGGTTTTTTGAGTACCGGGGATAGACGCAGGATGAATTGTTGTAGTAGAAAATGCCGTAAACCAAAAATCGCAAAATTGTTGGTTACGGCGTTTTCATTAAGCACGGCAGTACAATGGAAAAACTTTTTTATTATGCATTTTACAAAAAATATTTTTTCATCATAAAAACCTGCTTGTTAAAAAAATTAAATTCAATGTTCAATAAAATGAACATTGTGCTCAGAATTTATGAAAACAAATGCTTCAAGAGTAAAATCTAAATAGGAAAAATATATTTTAACATTTAATTTTATTTATTTAGTTTAAAAATATATTTTTTTTCGTATTTACCCAGCAAACACACCCGTAAAGGTTCTATAATGGCCCTTTATAAAGGCCCTATAGAGGCTAACTCTAATGGAACTGTACATATTATGTCGCGTTCAATTTGAATTTTTAACAACTTTTTCCCATTTAATTTTTTCTATAAAATAATAAATAATAAGTCTTTTGAAGCATTTTTATGTTTTCCCAATTTCTGAGCACCCTGTACATTTGATTCAATTTTTTTATGGAAACATAATTTTTTAAACAAGAATAACATTTTTGGTAAAATGCATACAAAAGTTTTTCCTATTGGCAACCCAATCTGTATACTTTTTATACAGACTTTTGGTATATACTTTTTAATAATTTAATATTATGTTTTTTTATCATTTTTTCTAATATCTGCAAAAGTTAATAAATCAGGAGGAAGATTAACAAACAATAATTCTCCCATAATTTAATATAATATATTATATTTTATAATGATAATAAATATTTACATTTACCATAATACATAAAAAAATTTTTAAATGTTATAGAGAAACTGCGCAGCAAGCCTGAGCTATTATGCGCAGCCTTATTCTCCAAAGCAGAGGCTCTAATTAAATTGGGCGATTTTCATGGCGCCAAACCGGTGCTTTACAAGGCTTACAAACTAAACTCGCCCAATTTACAGGACAAAAAATCCATTGAACACCATTTAAGAGCTGGTAAGAATACAATTTATTAGATGCTCATAAATTTTCTTCAATTTTGGGAATTTGTGCGACAGTATATAAAAATGCATTTTTGAAACACAAACGCTTTTTAGGACAATAAAACACAGTTTTACGATAAAATTTAAATAAAAAAGTGATGGGAAATTACCCACAACATTATTATTTTTTTAAAACACGACTTTTTGGGTTTTAAAACTCATTTTTGCAATAAAAAACTTTTATTACATCTAAACATGTTATAATCAAAGTTTTATCGCAAAAATGAGTTTTAAAGCTCAAAAACTCGGTTATGTAATGAATGTAATATATTAAAATGGGTAGTTCCTTAAATAAGCACCTGCAACTTTTTTCTTCTAAATTCTAAAGGCAATAATTTACAATAATTTTTATCCTACCAAAAAGTACGGCACTGATCTACTAGGAACTAATCTGGTTGCCAAATTTAATTTATTATGTTATGGTAGGTAACAACCAGCGTTTTCAGATTCTGTCAAAAAAAGTTACCAGATTTTTTTTTAATTTAGCCTAATTACAAAAATGACAAAATCAACATACAAATTGTTAATTTTGCGTTTTTATTAATTGTGATTATGTCATTTTTGTAATAAAGGTAAATTCAAACCAAATCTGGCAACTTTTATGACATAATCTAGTGCATTTCTTTTAAATTTTAGGTTATGTGCTCAAATTGTAAATATCTTAACTGCTTTTAGATTCATTTACACAAATTGAATGTTTAAAGTTTAACCTGTGAACTTGTCCTAATTTCATCTGAGTAAACAGAAAGAAAAAACCGATGAAAAAATTAATTCTGTGGTCATGGAGTTTTTAAAATAGGTACTAAATTTTCTAATCATTGCTTAAGCTAATAGCTGGATGAGTAAATAAATACAGAACGGTATTAGAGCTTCAAGGGCATACAACTTTTGTATTTATTTTTAAATATTTTTCCGTTACACCGTATGTCAAAAGGTATTCAGTATTTTAATATATTAAATTAATAACATAACACCCTGTATTAATTTGATAACATCACTTTCAATTTTAACGTAAAAATGTGTATTAACCCCCTAAAAGGTGTTTTTAACGCAATTCTATTCATAAAACCACTTATGTGTTCAAAATTCCCAAAATTAATTCAAATTTCCAATAGATTGGCCAGGGACTGTAATTTAAAAAAAAACTCATTACTAACATTTTCTTCACGTAAAGTCGCGGTAATTTGCAAGACGGAAGACCAGTTGGTGGTGACCTGCGAAAACCAAACGGAAGTGAAAAAGTTGTACGAAAAACTGGGCGACTGCGCGTGCGATCTGAAGAACTACAAAAAAGCGATCGACTACTACAAAAAAATGCTCGAGGCGGCCGAGAAAAGCGGCGTCGGCAAGCGAGAGCTGGCAACGTGTTACTACAGCTTGGCGCAGACGTACAAAGACAACGAGCAGTACAAAGAGGCCGTGGATTATTTCGAAAAAGAGTACGCGATCGTTCGGGACAGCTTGAAGGACAACTTGAACACCTTGAGTCAGATCGCGGACGCCAAAGAGTCGGCCGGGGCTCTGGTGACGGAAGTGAAGGAGGTTTACGAGAGGGCTTTCGAGAATTGCAGGCAGCGGAAGAATTTGAAGGAGGAGAGGCGGATGGTTTTGCGGTGCTTGCAGTACATGAGGCGGTCTAAAAATCATTCGGATGCGTACCATTACGAGCAGTGTTTGAATGAGTTGGAAAATCAGAATTTGAATGTGGATTGTTCTTCTTCTGACAGCGAAAGCGTGGATTCTGACGCGCAAATTGCCCAAATCGAGGATGAGATTTGTCTAGAAGATATTACAGGTAAAATCTTAATAAATACTTTTTTTCCGACTTTACAACTTTACAACAAAAAACAATAATTAATTGTTTTCTAAATTTTATGAAGTCGGAAAATAGTGATCCTTTTTACGAATTCTCACCCATAGAATATCTTTGGAATTCGTAGTTAAAATATTTTCTGGAGGGTGTTCTAGTTAAAAAGTAAAATAATTATGGCCAAATTATTCAAAAAAGTTGTTAAAAAGATATTCTATTAAACTAATCTTATATAACCTGTATATTTTGTTCAAATATTTTTTAAATGTTTTTTTAGTTGCAATATTTTGCAATAATTTTCGTTTGTGGTAAAATTTCACCAAAGGACTTCATTTTCATGATTAAAAAAAACACTATTTTTTAATACATTTTATAAATTATATAGGTATATACAGGGTGTCCCAGAACTCGCGCCACAGAGAAAAAGGGAACGTACCGAAAGTAATTTGAAACACATATTTAAAAATTCAAATTGTCCAACGCAAAGGATAAGGGAGATAAGAATAAAAAACGATAGCCAATCCCAATAGATCACCACAGGGAATTCTTTAAATTGCTAGGATACTTAGGTTGCATTGTTGGTAATAAAAAATATGTAAAATATTTGGTCCCCTGGAATTCAATTCATTGTCAAACTGCTGTCAATCTTTACTCCTGTCATTAATATTATATTAGGTTATAAATTAAGTTATTTTTGACACTGCTGTCAATCTTTACTTTTGTCATTAATATTATATTAGGTTATAAATTAAGTTATTATAAATAATTTTTCCTTAGATGATTATAATAGTTCATTTCTTTATATATAAATGAACTATTTATGGGAAGCGTGGGCGCAAAAAAAGCTAAATAAAGTACTATAGTTTGATTTTTTACTTTAAAACATTGGCGTTCTGGATCAGTCAGATTAATAACCTCATTTTTTGAAAGCTTTTGACAACTTAGTAAATACAGTTGGCCAAAAGATTTTTAAATGTTTTTAAGACAACAATGTTCTATCGTCTCCTAGCAATTTTTAAAGCTCCTACGTTTAACCTAGGCGAGATCTCTCGGTATTGGCTGCCGCTTTTTTGCTCTCATTCGATTACATTATTACCTAGAAATTTTTTATTTTTAAATTTGGTATCTCCATTGCTATCGGCACGCCCCCTTTTTCTCTGTGGCGCGAGTTCTGGGACACCCTGTATATATATTTTAAATATTATAGGAATATGTTAGTATCATTGAGTAGGTACTACAAAAACCAATAATTGTTTTTTAAATGTTTATATTTTTTTTCAAATATTTTAGTATCATTGAATACTACAAAAACCAATAATTGTTTTCTACTTTTTTTTCCGACTTTACAACTTTACAACAAAAAACAATAATTAATTCTTTTCTAAATTTTATGAAGTCAGAAAATAGTGATCATTTTCAAGAATTCTCACCCATATTCAAACCTTATAATATCTCAAGGAATTCATAGTAAAAATATTTTCTGGAGGGTGTTCTAGTTAAAAAGTAAAATAATTATGGCGAAATTATTCAAAAAAGTTGTTAAAAAGGTATTCTATTAAACTTATTTTATATATCATGTACACTCACAAGCAAAATAATCGATCCACACAAATTTTCGATGAATTTCAATCGCAAATAACTTTTTTTATTTGATTTCGGATTTAAACAAATATTAAAGAATATTGTAGATACATTAATGGAGAATTGCTCACATTTTAAAAATTACTAAAAATTACACGTACGTTTATAATATACAGGTTTAAATAAAAAGTTGTTTTTTACCATAAGTTTAAGACACTCTGTAGAGTGGCAAAACCGTATATTGTTCTAAATTAAGCTTTAATTATCAAGTCACATCTATTTTTAACAGTTTTGTTTTTGGTTTACCTTGATATATATAGTTTTGTGGAAAATATGGATTTTTTTAAAAAAAACTGCAATTTCCAATATTTTTCCTGTATGAAGAACTAAGGTTGCTATGGTCCATCCATAGCCTATGGAGGATGACAGTGACAGTTTTGTTGAATCATCCAATACTTGGACATGTCATATACAGTTTTCAAAAGCTATCAAATTGTTTTGAGTTAATTTTGAGGTGTCTTCTTACTTTTAAAAATGTCTCCGACTGATGTTGCCCTTTGTACTTTACTTCAGTGACGTTTAAAACACTTGCCACATAATACTGTGACCGTCAATTCTGGATTAAATTAATGTCTCTGGCAACATCAGTCGGAGACATATCCATATTTTTTAAGTAAGAAGACACCTTAAAATTTAAACATTAATTTGCAAAATTTGATAGCTTTTGAAAGCCGTGTATGACATGTCCAAGTATGGGATGATTTAACAAAACTGTCACTGTCATCCTCCATAGGCTATGGATGGACCATAGCAACTTTAGTTCTACATACAGAAAAATATTCGAAATTGCAATGTTTTAAAAAAAATCCATATTTTCCACAAAAATAAATATATCGAGGTGAACCAAAAACAAAACTGTTAAGAAGAGATGTAACTTGATAAATAAAACTTAATTTAGAACAATATACGGTTTAGCCACTCTACAGAGTGTCTTAAACTTATGGTAAAAAACATATTTTTTAGTAATTTTTTAAAATGTGAGCGATTGTCCATCAATTTATCTACAATATTCTTTAATATTCGTTAAAATCCGACATCAAATAAAAAAGTTATTTGCGATTGAAATTCATCGAAAATTTGTGTGCATCGATTATTTTGCCTGTGAGTGTATATTTTGTTAAAATAAAATAAATATTTTTTTAGTTGCAATAAATTTCGTTTGTGGTAAAATTTCACCAAAGGGTAAAAAAAAACATTATTTAAAAAAAACCTTAGTATATCTCAAAGAATTCGTAGTTAAAATATTTTTTGGAGGGTGTTCTAGTTAAAAAGTAAAATAATTATGGCCAAATTATTCAAAAAAAAATTCTATTAAACTTATTTTAACTAAATATTATCAATTTTAGAGTTTGTATTTTGTAAATTACATAAAAAAGTGAAACTTTTCGAACAGACATTTCCGACGACTCCGACAACGACAACCCGGCCTGCGAGCAAACGGCAGGCAAAACGTCGCGCCCGAAGCGCAAACGCAACATCGTCGTGAAAAACAACAAGGGCGAGACGAAGCTCCATCTGGCGGCCATCAAGGGAAACGCGCTCGCGGTGCAGGTGCTCCTCGACCAGGGCCACCCGGTCAACATCAGGGACCACGCCGGCTGGCTGCCTCTGCACGAGGCGGCCAACAACGGCCGCCTCGACGTGGTCAGGCTGCTGCTGGACCACGGGTCCGCCATCAACGACAGAGGCGACACCCAAGGTAAGGAAAAAGTCTTACTTTCTAAGTATCTTTTTGACCTGTCATATTTACCATTTTCTGTTGTAATTCTGTGAATAATAAATTATCATTATTATTATTGAGTCAAACTATTAGCAAGTCTTCTGGAAGAGTTATTCTGACTTAATAAAACTTTCAGCAGAGTCCTCTAGCGATAAAGATAAATAATAAGCAAAATATGAATATTATACACTAGGGTGTCCGTTATTTACGACGTTGGCGGTTTTCATTTGGGTATCGTTTAAATTGTTAGTTTATAGATAAAAACAATTTTAATAAAAAAAAAATTGATGCCGCTTAAATGACGATACTTTTCTCATTCATTTAACATGGAGTTTTTGCACTTTTTGGAAATTAATTTTTTTCTTGTTTATTATATTCAACCCACCAAATATTGTTCATTCTGCTTCTATTATGATAAAGAAATTTTGATATTGATATTCCGCAAACTTTGATAAGGTCAAAATTCATTTATACCGTTTTTTTCAATAATTTTGTTTAATTTACCGACCATTCAATATTTATTATGAATTTAATGTTAAATTTTATTTTAAACACTTAGTCAGGCCAATTCACTAACATAACTCGTTAAAGTTAGCCACTAGAATCAGTGGTTATCGGCGAATCCGACCAATCAGGTCGATTAAATATAACGATAACCACTAATTCTAGTGGCTAAAGTTAACGACTCATGTTAGTGAATTGACCTGAATATTTACTTTATGAAGATTGTAAATCATAAATCATTAGGGTCAGTCCATATCAAATCAACCAAAGGTTTTTCCCTCACCCTCACCGATTTTAATAATTTTTGGTAAATTTGTTTACCTCACTAAAAAACTCAAAAATCTCAAATTTGAATTTTTTTCGATAGGTGGTTTTTGTTTTATTGATTTTTGAAAATCAAAAAATTACCGATTTGGGTCTTGCAAGTACTTACAAATATAGCGATATCTCGTAAACTATTAAACTTAGAAAGGTGAGTGATGGCTTATTTTAAAGGCCTATTAGATACCTTTTTTTTGATATATCACATGACCTAAATTTCTTTCAAAAAAAAATTTTTAATTTCGAAAAAAATTTTTTTTCTTAAATCTCAAAAATACCTTTTTTTATTTTTTTCAAACAAATATATATTTTTTGTGCACATTTTGATAAGCTATGTTCAAAATTTCAAGATGGACACTCAACGGGTTCATGGTGAAAAAAATTATAAAGGAACTCACTAACATACAAAATAATATTTATGGGTCATTTTACTCCAAATAGTTGATGAGTTTGATTTTGTACCTTTGATTTTTTCACTTTTTTGCAGCCGCACGGTGGGCTGGGATACAAATCTAACTGGACAAAATTAGTTAACTAATTTTGTCCAGTTAGATTTGTATCCCAGCCCAGCAAACATGGTGACGTCATAATCACGGCATTTTTTGGTCACAAGTTACGTCATATTCACCCTTAACATCACGTCAAAATCACGTCTTTAAAACGGGCAAATGTCACAGGCCGTTGACGTAATATTAGGACGTACAAACAACGTCATTTGCCGTAAGTACTGACGTCTTAAAGACGTACAATAGTTGTCATTTATTGTAATAAATAAAACAAGGAAATATATTATAAATGTCATATATTATAAAATATAAATAAATAAATAAAATATAAATTCTAAATAACAAACTTAATAGAGTAGACCCATCCCATAAATCGAACATTATGGATAGCTCGAGCTATCATTGGCTTCTTCACCATTTTTTAATGCCTTGTCGTATTTGCACTGTTGTTTATAAGGTGGCCAGTAAACTTCTTTTTTGCGAGGAGTTAGCCACTTTGTATTGATAGCGGAAATTCCCCCGTCATGACGCGTCACCACGTACGTTCGTCGTGTGCAAACTCAACTACGACGTCCATCTTTTAAACACCTAGTATAGGTATATGTAAATAAATTAAGAATGATTTAATAATTATGTAAAACCTACCTATTGATCCGCAGTTACTGCACTTAATTGTAGATTTGCACAACAGTTATTAATTAACTTAATTTAACCGAATAACTGAATAGACGCCACCGCGGTAGTGCACCGTTGCAAAGCATGGACGGTTAGAAATGATAAAGCAATCGCAGCTTGCCACTAAAGTCAGCTGATCTCACAGTGGTCAGCTGACTGTGAATCACAGTCTGTGATTGGTGGTATCGAGCACGGCGTTCTTTACTTCCCGCCATGTATCGACACTTCACAAGTTACACAAATTTTTGTCTGTTTTTTTTTATTCGGAACAATATAAATACCTATATAGGTATTGACAGCAATGAAATTGTACAACTAAATTAAGAATTAAAAAATACTTTGTTTAAAATAGTATTTATTATTATTATTGTCTTGTAAGATAATTATTTGTTCATAGACGGATTTGCGTGTCATCGATGATAGGGATTTTTTTTTATTTTTTCTGATAAAAAAATAAATTTGGTCTACAAAAAAATTGGGATTTTATCTACAGGGTGTTCAAAAATTAGGTAGTACGATCTATACCTACTACGTACGTATTATTATATATTTGTTACGTGATATAAAATCACCTATTGAAAACGTCAGAAAGACGCAACATAAAAACATCTAAATGACGTCGGAAATGTGACGTCATAAACCCGTCTTTTATTGGTCATGTGACGTCGCCGACGAAAGGTGACCTTAAAATATCGTCCTAATGACTGGGTTAGCTGGGTTACTCCCTCAAAAATTAGCAAAGCCATATTAACCGCATATTTAACTTAAATAAAAATAAAAAATATTTTAATAGTGCTTTGCTAATTTTTGAGGGAGTAATTAATTTTTTCCAGTTAGATTTGTATCCCAGCCCACCGTGCAGCTGAACAAAAGTGAAAAAATCATAGGTACAAAATCAAAATCAATTATTTGGAGTGAAATGACCATAAATATTAATTTTTTGTAGGTTAGTGAGTTCCGTTATATTTTTTTTCACCATGAACCCGTTGAGTGTCCATCTTGAAATTTTGTACATAGCTTAACAAAATGTGCACAAAAAATATATATTTTTTTGAAAAAAATTAAAAAAGGTACTTTTGAGATTAAAAAAAAAAAATTTTTTTTGATATTAAAAATTTTTTTTTTAAGAAATTTAGGTCATGTGACATATCATAAAAAATGTATATAAAAGACCTTTAAAACAAGCTATTATTCAATTTTTTATTTTGAGTAGTTTTCGAGATATAGCAATTTTTGTAAGTACCTGCAAGACCAAAATCGGCAATTTTTTGATTTTCAAAAATCAATAAAACAAAAACTACTCGTCAAAAAAAATTAAAATTTGAGGTTTATGAGTTTTTTGATGGGTAGATTAAGTGTAATAAAAATTATCAAAATCGGAGATGGTGAGGGAAAAAAGTGACCTTTTTTTGGTTGATTTGATATGGACTCACCCATTAATAGTTCATCAACTGTTGATTTATTTCTCTCTCTTTCTCTCTCTCTCTCTCTCTAACTTATGTACAGCCACTAATTTCTTACGCCACGGACACAAGTTCAAATATGATTCCCTCACGTGACGTGGGGTTGGGAAAATTTCACTTTTTGCTTGTACTTGAAATTTTACTTGAAATTTTCATGAAATTTGTTGAAACTTTCAATAAATTTCAATCACTTTAAGTGTAATATATTAATATTGAAATAAGCCCACTCGGGGACCATGGCAAATTGCCTCTCTTACCTCCTACCCCTCTGTGGGCCCCTGCAGCAATAATATAAATAGTAAATACCTATGTTTACCACAAATTTCTTGAGATTTCCTTTTAAAATATTTTTAAAATGACTAAAACTAAAAGAGATATAGCACTTTTTGGTAAGCTAATGAGATTGTGCCACTTTCATTGTTTTATATTTATGTATATATTTATTATTTTTAAATATTTTACTAAAAATTTTACGAAAATTGAAGAAACTTCATCAAAATTTAAGAGCCAAAGGCATTTTTTATCCGTTTTCCGATGAAATTATAGCAAAAGTAAAAGTTTAAATTAATCATGACTTTTCAAAAAAATTTAAAGTCTGATTTAATTTACAAATTAAATTGGTAACTGAATTAAATTATTTAAATTAATTTATGCATATAAGTAACAATAATTACTTATAGTGTATTCAAATCCAAGCCGAACTAAACAAAAACGCCCAGACGCTTGATAACTCGTTCTTATTGGTCGATCGGAATCTGTTGTAAATTATTATTAAAGGTCCCAGTCCGATAGGCAATGTTGAAATTTTCGGATTGAAAATTTCATTTGAAATTTTTAAAAATTTCACCTTTCCAACTAAATGAAACATTTCAAGTTTGAAACTTTCAAAGTTAAAATTTTCATTTGTCCCAACCCTACTCACGTCGCATTTACATGACTTACACGTCAAGATAAAATGTCCATGTCGCAGGGGTAACTCCTTTGCACGATTCCGCTTACAACGGCCACGTCGACATCATGGAGCTGCTGTTGGATAAGGGCGCTTCGGCTATAACGATGACGGACGATGGGGAAACACCTTTAAACGCGTTGCGGCATTTCATGCAGAACAACCCGATAGATTCGCAAGTCGAAGATAAATACGAGGGGATGGTGCGTAGACTGACCGAAGCGATGGAGAAAACCGGGCAGCAGATAAAGCCTTTGACGGTGAAAAATCAAAATGTTCCTTCGTCGTTGACCGCGGTCAGCAAGGAGGGCGAACGGGCGTCGCAGAAAAGGAGTTTTATCGATAGGAACAGAAGTTTTGTGGACGATTTTGACTTCTCGTCAACTGCACGTTAGTAGTTATAGTCTAGGGCGTTACGTGATAAATCAGATTTATTTTTAGAAAACACTCAGGATGGTGGAGCGAACGAGTACCGAGAAGTGATGTCGACTTTGAAGCACAAAAACAACTCCGCCAACAGAACAAACTTGGTTAATGCAAGTGAGACTGCGATCAAAAGACCCGCGCTTATAAGTTCCGACGAGGTTTGGGACGATTGGTTGGAAGACGATATGCAATCGAAAAATAAGAAGAGGAAAACTGGACTAAGTTTGGAAAAAAAATCGCCCAAAGCCATTCAAAGGAGTACGCCGAATAAAAGAATATCAGGTAAGCGAGAAATCCGTTTTTTGCCATTTCTTGAATAACAAATTTTGCTATCAAAGTACGTGTTAATATTCATAATGACTCGATTCTACCGTGACATTTTGTTTTGGTGAGGCAGGGGCAAGACTATTATAGTATATTACAGAGTTGCAAAAATGTTAATGTAAAAAATAATGCAATCGTCATTTTTTTTAATGGTAATGTAGTTTAAATACATTAATCATTACAAAAAATTTGTTATGAGAAATATTTTCATTACACAATTAATAAGTAATGTCAAACAATTTATTACTCATAAAAAATCAAAAATGAGTATTGAGAGACCATACATTACACGTTAAAAAAAATGTGTAACAAAAGACATTACCCATTACATCAGTGAAAAATAATCAGAGGTTGAGTTGATGGGGTGATTTTTTATATGGTGCATTTTAGTCTGACAGTTTGAAAAATGTTGGATTTCGATTTCTTTTATTTTTCAATATTTTTAAGTACCCATTAAAAATCCCTTTTTGGTTAAGTTTGATATTTTTTTGATTACTCGTTTTCAAAACAATCGCTAATTTCTTTAATAATGGTCTGAATTGAAATTTTTATTTCTTAAAATTTCCGTGTATCAAAATTATGCAAACATATTTGCATGCGAATTTTGAGTTTTAAAATTTTCAAACTGTTTGTAGTCTTTGATTTCCTTGCAATTTTTTTACGTTAAACTTCTACCCACTCAAGAAATGGTTTATAGTGGGATTATGAAATTAGGTGAGAAGGCGACCTAAACTCAAAAAAGTATTGAATCTATGATATGAACGAATAATTAATTTTGAACGTCTGTTACTGGTAAAAAAACCAATTCAAAACATACATTGAAAAAATGTATCATGCAATACAAATATCTTCCTTGCCCACTAAAAATGAGTAATTCGATAATCATTAATTTTTCATTAATAATAATAAAACATAAAAAATTTTAATTGAAAATTTCAAAATATTCATTACAAATTAATAATGAGTAATGTAAAAAAGAATACATTTCTAATTGGAAAAAATGTAATGAGTAATTAACTTAATTTTCATTAAAAAAGAAGTAATGGGGCATTCCACGTTACTCTGTAATTTTTGTCCCGCCCGTCACATTTAAAAATCGTGAGTAAAAACCACACAATATTAAATTTATTTTAAAATATTGTTTATTATTCTTGTAATAAGCTTATAAGCACAATACAAATAATATTATAAAATGATAATTTAATAACTTGTGGTTTTTACTCACAATTTTTAATTGTGACGGGCGGGACAAAAATTAACGTGGAATGCCCCTAATGCCTAATGAAAATTAAACACATTACTCTTTATTTTAATAATGTGTATTGAAACCGTATGCAATAAAAAAATAATGATTTGTTTGCAACTCTGGTATATAATGTATCAAGTTTGATAAACGCCATTTTAGTCACGAATTTAATTAAATTAAAATAAGTGCCTAGAAAAGTTTATAAACTAGTGGCATACTATACTTTTTCTACGACAAATAATTTAAATTAAATATTTGTATAAAGCGACATCTATACGAAAATAAAGTAACCATCCCAATAAACATTTTTGACGTAATTTTCAATATTAACATTGGCCGTTATTATTTTAATTAAACTTAACAATTATTGATACTTTAAAATATTAAAATAACTTCAAAATATGATTATGTTAAGAAAATATTTTATCCTTTGATTTTTTTTATTACTATAAGTGCAAAATATTATCACAAAATATTTAAAATTCTTACACGGGAAATGTTAAAGGTATAAAAGTTACTTGGAATTCCCGTTAAAATTTCTGACTTGGGAATCTACCGGCGTTAAAATCCCAAATTTTTATGTGTAAATCAAAATTTATCCCTTGAAAATAGACTAACAATCGATAAGGAAGCAGATTTTCACAGTAAAAGAGAAGAGAATGTTTTATAGGCACTGTACGCAAATTTTTTAACGCTTTAACAGCTAAATCTTTCTAACTTCACTACTAGGGCGAAATCAAACGTTCATAATATTATAATATTTTCAAATATTGGCGTCAAGAAACTATTTAATACTTTTGATTTTTTGTATTGAGTTGATAAAATAATTTTCACATTTAGTATTATTTTGCAATAAAGGCACTTTATTTTAACGATTTTATGACATTTGACAACTATCAACTAACTTCAGCCCGTGACTAAAGCGCCATAAAGCCACAACTTGTTAATGTGTATTTAAAAGGTTACTTAGTGTCATAGACCGACCGCCCCCTAGTACAAAAGCAAATATTAAGAATGGTTTTTCTTATAGTTGATTCCTCTCAAAGCAACGAGGATTACATAGTGCCCGACGATTTTTTCGACGACTTTTCCAACGACAACACCGACATAATAAACTCCACGCAAACCCAAGAACGACGCACTTCAAACGAGAGTAGAGTCAGCACGGGCAGTGGCACTTCAAGCAAACGTAAAAACCAAACATCACTGTTGGAATCGGGTTTCAGTAGGGCCACCACGCCCACAAATTTCGGCGTAACGTCATCGAACAAAAAACGAACTCCGATCAACAACAAAAACAAACCGCACGTTGCCAAGTCCAAACCTTTCCAGTTAAAGCTAACCAACTCCAGGTACGGGGATTCGTTGCAGGAAACGACAACGACAACGGTGGATCTAAGCGGCGATAAAAATGATTTTAATTTTTACGAAAAACGCGCCTCGCCTGTGAAAAACCACGTTACTTCCGACCCCACTTTATTCGTCGATGTTCGGATCGAAGGAAGGCTTTACAGAGTGCCAGTTCTGCTGTCGCAAGTGCAAACGCACACGATCAAGTGGCTTTGCGAACAGGCTGCCAACAGATACGCGAGGTAAGAAAAATACTCTGTAGGTCCCACATAACGCAAAATATATTTAAAATATTGAATAATAATAATAATAATCATTTATTAGCATAAGATATTCACATTACAAAAAACTTTTAGGGCCGTATACAGAAACGTTGATTTATTTATATCAACTGATTTACGCATATCAGTGGATTTACGTTTTTGCACGACATGGCAACGCAGTAATTTTTTTTAAAAACTTGTATTATAAAACAAATTGGGTAATTATCTTTTTTTTCAAGCGGCCATGATATACAACGTTATATGCATGTATAGAGATATTTGAAGTACGTCTTTTTCATTAGCGGCAGACAAAAAACTCAAAAAAGCCTAGGGATAGAAGTAAATCCATAGGTGACTCAATAGACGTCAAATAATAAAATTAATTTAGCATTTCATACAAAGCAATCAGAGATGTATTAATTATATTAATTATAATCGCACGGAATATTTAGTGATTATTTATTAAATTTTAATTGAACGAAATAAAGAACAACTAGTTTATTAGTATAATATAATGATGATAGACGAGTCGCCAATGTCGGAACTCCAAACAAATGTCAGTACGTCAAAATTAATTCAAGCGCAGCATTTTGACAGAGCAGTGTTTATTTTTAGTTTAGGATATTTATCGACATTGTAAGTAAGGGTTATAAGTTTTTTTACTTTTTATCAATAATTTGTAATGTTTTTAGCCAAAATTTTATACCACATGAGTTATAAGTAAATAAAATAATTCTATTGCAATTTGCTTATCCTATTTATATTACGCCCTTGAAAAAAAAATTGTATATGTTATTTGGAGTAGAAGCTCTTTTTGTGCTTCGTACAGTTGCCTGCCTCAGCTACGCTTCGGCCGTCAATCTCTGTACTCACCACAAAAAGAGCCACTTCTACTCCTTATGACATAATCTACTATTCAACGTTTATATTTTCCCTAAAAATTGACATTTTAAATTAGACATAAATATTTATTTAACATTTGTGACATTTGCTTTTAACCCTTTGCGGACGGATTTATTTATTTAAGAAAAAAAAATATATTTTTTTTAACTTTATGAAGTTGAAGTTACAAAAAAGTTGTAAAAATGAAAAAAAATATTTTTTTTAACTCTAAAGCATAAAAAAATGGTGGTCCTTATGGAGACCACCAGGCCTGTAAAAGCATAAGTTATTGGAAGAGCAATTATACGTCTCCAAATTATTTTTTCCGCAGGATCTGGCACAAAATTAATCAAAGGAATGTCCATTTCCTCATCTACACTGTCTGAAAGGTTTTCATTGCAATCTTCTTCATCTTCAATAACTTCTTTTTCTATTGTTGCATTCTTTTCTTCTTCATTATCTGATTCATAATCGTTTCTGTTGCCCTCTTCTTCATTTTCAATAACCTCTTCCTCTATTACTGCAGTTTTTTCTGCTTCATCATCTGATTCATACTCGCTGGCATTGGATTCAATATCAGAAGGAATTTCTTTAATCAAAGTATTGAAAGCGCCCGCAGAAAGGTCATCGAGATCTTGAAAAGTCCATCGGTTTTTTTCAATAAATTTGCGCAATTTATCTGCAATATGAACAACCGCAGTGTAAATTTTGGTATTAACATTAATAAAAATTATTATTATTGTTAGTATTGTTAAAAATAGCAATGAAATAGAAAATAAATGAAAAAGTGAGTATCTAAAAAATAAAATAAATAATAATAATAATAAAATCTTGAAACCTAGTGGTCCCTGTGGAAACCACCAAATGTTGACACCAAATTGACTTATTTTTTTTGCAAAAAGAATAAATATTATATTTTTTTTAGTTTTGCATGGCTATTAAGAATAAATAAATTCACTTACCGCCCATTTTACTTCAAAAATAACAATTTTATTAACAATATAAAGTGTCTGTGACAAAAAGGCGCGAACTGTCATAATATAAGGGTAAGTACAGCGTATCGCGCGATCTCTGCGACAAAGTTTAATTTTTGTTTCAATAGATGGCACCACAAATAATGTAATGTGGGTGGTAACTCATAGATGGCACGACGCCGATAAGTTTATAAAAATTCATAAAAAGGTGGTATCTATATGGGATCACCAGGCCGCAAAGGGTTAACAAATAATAAAATCATCTAAAATGTAAATCGGTTGATATAATTTATATCAGTCGTTACTACTCGATTTAAAATCGTGTGATTCTCTTCCTTTAGTAAAGAGTACATGAGGCCCACTTTGGAATTGGAAACAAAAAGCGGCGCTATCCTGGCCGACGATGATTTATTGAGCCTTCTATTTCCCATGGGGTCGATGCAGGCTGAGCAAGTCGAGGCAAGGGTTTTAAAATGGAGTTTGCCGCCTTTGATCGATAGGTATAGGGAGTCCTGCGCACATATGGAAACAGGTAATAAGCACATTAAACACTTTCCATGGGTCGTAATATTTTTATATGCAATATTTATGGCACGCCATTTCACTTTTTAATCGTAAATGTTTTAAATGTAAAAGAAAATCAGAAAATTATGGAATATATAATTTTTTTATATATTTATTGTGAGACTAAAAACATTGTTGGTTAATTTTTTTTTAAACAAGATTTTTGAACTATTTTATTTTTTCCTATTATTTTTATAAGTTGCAATGTCTTATTTATAATCATTTTTATTTAACAATTAATTTTATGTGTACACATAGTTTTAATTCCAATAAAACATGATATAATGAATTTTATATGTACACATAAAATTAATGCAATGCATTTTTATGTTACAATTAAAATTATGACTTTACGTTATAAAAATTATAGAATTTATTTTATCTGCACACATAAAATTATATAATTAATTTAATAAGTGGCAACTGCAGTAGTTCAAATGCATAGTAGGTATTTATGCGTAATTCCTTGATGGCTTCTAACCATTGGCTAGATCACAATCCACATAACAGTGAATTGTACAAATTATTTCTATGTATATTAGACTGGGCCAAAAAAATCAACTATTTTTGTTTTGAAAAGTATATCGAAAATATGGTTTGGGGTGATAAAAAACAATTATTGTAAAAGTTTGAGTCCATAATTTTATTATTAAGAGGTCTATCATCGCAATTTTAATTTTTTTTCCTCAGCAAGTTTTAGGCTCAGAACTCCCAAACCATTGAGTTTAACAAAATTGACTTGAAAATATTTATTTAAGAAAATTAAATGCTCCACAAAAAAGGTTAAAGTAAAATTTTCCGTCAGATGAACCGTTTCCTTAAAATCATGCCTTAAAAATTGGTATAGTTTTACATTTTGATCTTTTAAATTGGAATTTTGTAATTCATGTAAAAATCATGAAAATTCTTATGGGAAATCAAATGCTTTACAAAAAAAGCCTCTTAACATTTTTGGCTAAATTCACTCAATCAAAAGTTATTCAAGGTTAAAATTTCGTTTTGACTTCAAATTTAACCTTGAACAACTTTTGATGGGGTGAATTTAGCCAAAAATGATAAAAGACTTTTTTTGTAGAGCATTTGATTTCCCATAAGAATATTTAACGTTTTTTTCAGGGTACTGATTTTTACTTGAATTACAAAATTCCAAACTTAAAAGATCAAATTGCAAAACTATACCAATTTTTAAGTCATGATTGTAAGAAAAGGGTTCATCTGACGGAAAATTTCATTCAAACCTTTTTTGTAGAGCATTCAATTTTCTTCAAAAAATATTCTTAAGTTAATTTTGTTAAACTCAATGATTTGGGAGTTCTGAGACAAAAACTCGCTCAGGAAAAAAAATGTAAAATTGCGATGATAGACCTCTTAATATTAATATTATGGACTCAAACTTTCACCTTAATTATTTTTTGTCAACCCAAACAATATTTTCGATATACTTTAAAAAAAAAAGTCGATTTTTTGGCCCAGTTTAATGTACATTATTTCAGTACAAGATGTACTTTTATCTAAACTGGCGGAAGAGATGTCTGACGTCTTAAACATATCTAACAAAGGTCTAAGAAGCGCGACGGTGGCGCCATTGTGCAAAGCGATAAACCACCAAAGCAACCTGCTGGAAATCAACTTGTCGGGTAATTTTCTGAACACGGACTGCGTGAAAATGTTGTGCGCCAGCCTGGGGTCCCTGGAAAACCTGCAGAAACTCAACTTGAGTTCCACCGGATTGCAGGCCGGTCACTTGTCGATGATCGCGCAGGCTACTTCTGCGCAGAAGCGCTTGGAGTGCTTTGATTTGAGCGATAACCCCCTGAGAAACGAGAGTTTGTTTCATTTGAGGACCATAACGCAGAACTCGCAGCTGACGCACTTAAACGTGTCCGGGATCGGTTTAAAAAGTGATATAGACGACATCACACTTAACTTAAGTAGCATGCAGGATTTGGATGTGAGTGACAATGATCTAAGTACCAGGGATTTAAAATGTCTGCTGGGTAATTTAGACGCCAAAGTATTGAAATCCGTAAATATGTCGAGATTAAGGCCCAACAATGCGAAGGTACTACAAACACTTACTGAAGAGGTATTTAAATTGGAACCTGTTGAAAATTTAAAAGTTATGAAACTCTCTAGGTGCAACATTGATGATACTGAACTATTTAACATACTATGGTGAGTTTTATATATTTATTATTTTCCCTGAAATTTATAAAACTGTATTAAATATAATATAAAGGCAACATTTTTAGTTTAGTATAATATTGAGAACCTACATTAGCTATAACAAAAAAAATTGAACCCCCCTCACCCCCCTTCTTTTTTAATTGCATTTTGGGATCATGGTTATAGTTATGGTTATTTTAATATGTCTCGGCAATCCTACTAAAAACTAATAAAATAAGATGTTCAAATTATGTTATTTTTTTGTAATCTTTTCAAAATAATCACACAATACACCAAACATAATCACAAAGAAAAAACAAAGTTGTTTTTTATTAATGTCGCCAAAAACTAACCTTGCAATAAAAAAACAATAAATTCCAACTCAGCTTTTAATATTGAAATTCTAATAATATTAGCCAGCTTTTAATATTGAAATTCTTTGACAAAATCTAAGAAATTTTGTCTACTTATAAGATTAGCTTTTTTGCGCCTATAAGCTTTCTTTGAACTTTGTTAAACAGTTTTGAAAATCTGTCTTATTCTTAAAAAGAAAAATATAGTTATAACTGAAAATCTTTTTTCTTACCTTTTTAGGCATCACACAAAAAAATTGACGACGATAGACCTCTCCTACAACTGTGATGTAACAGGTCTTTCTTTGCAAAGACTTTTGGACCACGCGTCCTTGTGCAACATAAATTTAATAGGTTGTAAAAATATTTTCAGGAATTTCGAATTCGATGTTTTGTTTTCAGGCGATAAACGTGAAAGGACAATAAAAATGTACGTCGATGATAGTCAAAGAATTGTAAATATTTTTAATAATCACTTTAGCGATCAAAAGGTTGTTTTTGATGAGCTGCCTAATTTTTTATCAATTAAAGTGTTAAATTGTAGGTAGTTTATTACTGTATACATCATGTTAATATTAATTTTTGTACATAGAATATAGTTTATTTTAATACAATAAATAAAAATGCAACAGTATTATTTACAAGGTTTTTATTTTTAGAATTTAGGTTTTGATATTATTAAAAAATATATTTTTAATTTTCAATGGTACATAATCAACATTAAAACTTTACATCCATTTACATAAACTTTAACAAAAAAGCTACTTTTTGATCAGCAGCCTTTTTGTTAAATACACACATAACCCCACATCAGTCTTATTAAAATATGTTTTAATTATATTATTTGCTAAGAAAATATTGGTTTCAAAAGATTTTTTACTATTACTATTACATTAAACAACAAATTTAAAATAGCTTGAAAATGTTACTATTAACAATTGAAACGTTTTTTCTAATCATATTAAAGAATTTGTACATTTCTTGTATGTTTTTATTTAAGCAATTGGCTTATTCTTAAACTGAAAAAAATTCTTTTTTCTCCAGTTATCTGATTTTACGATCAAAGACAAGTTTGTTTTGTGTGTTTTTGCTTAAAAAGAATTAAAAATGTCTTTGGATGTAAAAGTTATATAAATTATATAACTGATTATAGTGACAATAAAAAGACTGAAATAGCCTGACATGTAAAGATCAATATCTATTATTGAAACTCAAAATTCGCTTTTTAAGGTAATAAATATATTTATTTTAATCAGTATCTGTTAAAACAGTTCCTAAATGAACAAACATACGGTGTTTTATTCAGATTTTATGGTAACCATTAATAATATTGTTGTTATTAAAAATTCTTTAATACAATTAGAAAAGGACTGTTAAACTTCGGCTCGTGTCGCAATATTTTATCCTCGTGGAAATGGAACACCAAATCGTTGAACAATACTTTACTATTTACTATTACTTAATAGAGATATGGCAAAATATGGACTTTATGGCATATGGAAATAGTTTTAATTTTTTTACCTATCCTATTACATTTTTTTGGTTTTGAACTCGTAAAATAAAATAAAATAAATAAATATAGTAAAATTGTGTGTAAATTGCATTTTGTTCGACTTTTTAAACGTTAATAAATTTTTGATATAAAGTAAAAATAATATTTGGTCTTTTATAATTACTAAATTAATATTTCCAAAAAACTATTTAAAACTAATTTTGGACAAATCTCGCAGAATAATGGCCTAAAACTGGCAATTACCCACTTCAACTAAGTATTTGCTACAATCACTGATAGACAGGTTGGCACAAAATGTTATGCTTATGCTTTATACAGGGTGGTCTGGAAAACCAGGGAATTTCGGGGATATTTTTCCAGAGTCCGGAGTTACCTATTACTGATTCATATACTGGGTGTTAAGAAAAGGTTGTTGAAAATTTTACCAGGTGGTGGAACCTCTCAAAAATGAGTTTGAACTACAAAAGTGATTTTATGAATAAGAACGTTTTTATGATAAAATTAAAAAAGTGATTGTAAAAAAAATTATATTTTTTTTTACAAAAACGACTTTTTGCAATTAAACTTTGATTACAACATTGTTAGATATGATTTTAACATGTTATCAAAGTTTTAATGTAAAGCACAAAAAGTCGTTTTTTTAATATTAATTTTGTACCATCGTTTTTCTATTTTTATTGTGCAAATTATTATCCTAAAAAGCAATTCTGTCATAAAATCAATGTTGTGGTTCAAAAAGGCATTTTTGTGGGGAGAAATCAACCATTACGCAAATTTACAACATTAAAAAAAAATTATTATATCTAGGACCTACAACTGTTTCATTTATTTATAAAAAAAAATATATAAATAAGTTGCCCCCTCTTTAAAAAGAACCTATTAAATTTACTTGAGTTTGTCAGGAAAAAGGTTAAAAATAAAATCTCAGGGAAATTTTGTGGCCCCCCTGTTTATAACTTTTGTGAAACCATCGTTACTTACATACACAATCCACACAAGGTCTGTTCCATCTTGTGCATAATAAAAATCACGAAGTTATGCAACCCACTGCACAGACTTTAACGGCGGCCATTTTTATGCTGTTTACAATTCTTGTGCGACGCGTTTTTTGCTGTTTATACAGAATAAAAATCGTTTCAAAGGGTTTAATTAAAATGAGTAAGTAGGTGCATTTTAGAAGTCTTATTACTGACAATAATATTGTATATTATACCGCCAAAGAATTTAGTAAAAAGTTTAACTGATATGGTCAAAATTGGGGCAATTGCGAATAAAATATATTAATAATGGCAAAAACCTGGTTTTCTTTGTTATAGAGGACAATCTACTTAATAAAATAAAATCACGAGGGGTTTTATTTTTAATTATTTTGCATGAAACTATTTTCCAAAAAGAAAAATCAAATAAAAAACTTACTGAGCATAGTTTGACAGATTAAATTTATAGGTCTAGATTATTTCTCGAATTAAAGGAAACTATTTGACAATCAATAAAATCTGACGTATACGCTAAAGAAATATCGGGTTTTCGCAACGCGCGCGTCATCTGGTGGACTTCGATAGCATTGTGTGAATTTAACAATTGTCAACAACATAAAAGCATACGAACTGCACGTCATTTTTAAATAAATAGGTAGTTTTTTCACAAAAGAGAGGAAGGCTTACTCGACAAATTTTGTTCAATTGCACAGCTAAATCGCGCACGTTATTTGTGTTTTACGTTGCAAGGAAGAAATTAAAAAACTGGTTTAGTACTGGATTTCGATTGATTATTCTTTATACCATTGATGAAGAAACTCAACGCTTAAATGCTTATATAGTTACGTTAGTGTGTGTATTTTATCTAAGGGATCATGGTGAATTATTGTGTTTTTAATTGCAAATAAAATTCAAGGACTAAATCGTTGCATTTTCATGTTTTGCCAAAGGATCCAATTCGGTAAGTACATTTGTTGGTGCAGAATATACTAATGATAACTAAACCTAATATAATTTATATTTAAGTTTGGACATTTTTAAGAAATTAGTAAAAAATAATTGTTGCACAAACATAACCTTGAAATCGGACATTTTTATATTTGAGTCCTCTAAAAAACGCCGACAACTGCATTTTAAACAACAAAATATACCTACGAATTCATGGCAACATAATATTATATATGTATAATACATAATATAATGGTATTTTACCGTTGAGTGAAGACTTTAAAGAATTTTTAATAAACGCTTTTAATAATGCTAAATGCTGTTTGAATTTAGACGACTTATTTGTTTGACGATTTTTACTGAATTGAAATGTTTACACTTTTCTCGTTAATCATTACTAAAATGTGTATTTATTGTATCTAATAGGTACAATTTACATTTACAGAGACTGTATGCAATTTATTTCTTCATTCAGATTAACACTGTTTATTGGAAAACCGGTAAAAACTCAACCCAGGATTTCCTCTCGAAATACACCCAACAACACAACAAATCGTGCCTCGGTTTTTTTCCATTATGGCAAAAACAAGATAGAACAGACCTTGTTGCGTGGATTGTGCAAAAGTCGTAAAACATTCAAACACCGACGTTTATTTTGCGCCAGCCTGTAAAAACGAATTAATAGACCACACAGTAACTTAGCACCGATACATATCACATGATTTTAAAATGTAATAGAATACACAGATTACCAAACGGAAAAGGTTCCGTTAGTCCTTAAATCATCCTTGAAAATGGCACTTTTCGGGTCGGGCGCTTCGGAACTCCAATACGTGTCCCTACAGGCGTTGACAGTTCGCCCGCAAATCTCGATACTTTTAGATTTTGTCGACACGCACAGCTTTTCGACTGCGTAGAAAGTCGACGTCAGCCGATCGATCCATTCGGTGAGGTTTTTGTCGAACCTCTTGGAGTTGGCTGTGGCGGCGTTTTTTAGGACTTCGCGTTCCTCGACTTTGGGCAGGAAGTCGTCGAAGTTCCCGGCGAATTTTTTTCCCGCGAAGTTCCCGTGCAAAAACTCCACCTGCGACGCGGTCACGGCGTTTCCCGAGAAAAATTGCAAAGGCAGCACGAGGAACTTAACTGAAGCCATCTCGGCCGTTTTGTATATTAATTTTAGAGTCCACACGCCCGGTAGAATGGGTTGTTTTAAGTTGGACTTCGCGGAAGCTATCAGGGAGTTTTCGTCGATTGAAACTTCGGTAACTTCCTCCAAAAATCCCGCCGGGTTTATCCACAGGCACGACATGTTGTAGGTTTTGGCGAACTTGTGCGCGTTGAAGTGGTAGATGAAGTTCGGGTCCGAGTAGGGCGACAATATTCTGATGAAGTTCCGCGATGTTTGCTCCTTTTGATCGTAATCGCTGCTTACAGCGAGATAATTCAGGTGTTCCATTAATGGGGACGGTTTTAGAACGGTCACTTTGCTGTTGGGTTTGACGGCGACTTCAAGAAACCCTTCTGAAGTCTGGAACTTCAGCAACGTGTACTTGTAGGAATCCTTGTGGTGATATGATGTCGCTTCAGTGAACTTCTCCATATTCACGCTGCAAGTGCCGTTTTGTAGAAAACCGTGCAGCCTTCTGCTGATGCTGTTAGCGAAGGTTAACAACCCATCATCTTTGGCGACACCCATATCGTAGTGGTGGTAAATGCACTGCCAATAGCTGTGCAAGTTGGGCACCATTTTCGATGGGGCGTCCAAACCATGTATCCACAGTTCCAACTGCAAAATAACCGCCTGATTGATGATGGGTTCGAATTTTCTCGCGAAATACAACTGCCTAGTGAAAGTGTTCTGTATCCTCTGCCAATCCTCAGGGCGAAAATCGTTGGGGCTGCACCCGCACCAATCCACAACGTGCTTGTACTGGCACTTACAGCCCAGCTTCCGCTTCCAGTTGGTGACGTGCAAATTATTATCGACGTACGTATCGCAGAACTTAGAGTTGCGCAACGCTGTATGGAAAAACGACTCGGCGGGCAGCAAGGTGTACTTGAAGATCCTCAACAATCCCGCCACCAAATCGTCCCGATTTACGGCCACGTACCGCACAAATTTATGAGATAGAGCGATCCAATCGCTGCCACCGTCCACTTGTACACCGACAGGCAAAACTCTGTCCCCAACGCGCCACATTCTGGTCTCGCACTCGACAAAAGTCTTATCCAAGCCCTGCTTCTGTATGAAGCGCTGCACCTCGCGGCCGTGGGACTTCACGAAGTTCTTGCCCTTGTTGGCGGTCAAAAAGTCCGTCAGTTGCTGCACGCTCTTCACCGGGAAGTCAGACTCGCTGAGGTTCAGCACGAAGTCCCACTTCCACTGCGTTAGTTCGAGGAGCTCCCGCATGCAGGAGAGGAGCATCTCCAGCAGGGATGCCCCTCCCCATATTGTCGCGAAGCGCTTCCGGGTAAGGCGGATGTTGGGGAAGTTGCGCTCTAGGGCGAGGAGTTCCCGGAAGAGGTAGTCCTGACGCTAGAAATATTTTTTACAATGACTTCAATACTTGAAATATTAAGGATTGGAGAACAAGGTTTTTTAGTCTACTGTGTTTTTTGTTATTTTGAATTTGAATATAAGTATAGTTTATTAAACTATTTTAAATGCCAAAGCTGGTGCAAAAAAAGTATTTTTGATAATTTTGTTATTAGCGTTTTAAATATAAATTCTACAACCGTTAAAAAAAGTTGACATTTTTGTATTGAAATGGGCGAATGTATTTTTTACCTTAACGACACAAATGTAACATTGGCGCACTGTGAATAAACAAAGTAAATTGACAAGACGTAATGACAAAAATAATTAAATATTGATCTTGTTATTTCAATGAAGTTGTGTGAAGTTGTGAAAAAATGTTGTATTCATTCTCAATCACCAAAATTTAATTTCTTATAGGTACCAAGTTCCACAACCAAAAGTCGCACCTTGACATTTGAACACAAATAATTGAGGTTATCTTTACGTGGGTTTAAGGCTAATTTCGTCTAATTTTAAGTAATTACAAATTAATGAACTCTTTAGGCAATTACGTTATTATTAAAGTAACTTTTTTTAAATGTATAATAATTTTCATATAATTACACTCATGAGTCTATACCTATAGAAAGACTAGAACAAATCCCAGGTAGCACAACGTAACGAAATCTTGACGTAAACGAGACGTTTTCAGTCAGTCGTGACTTGGACGTTATTTAAAAATCGTAACGTATTTAATTAAAAACAGTTGCCAAACCGCGCTAAATTTAAGCATAGTTTTTGTGACGAATACGTTACATTAATATGAATAAAAATCTTCACGATGTAGTTAAGAATACGCCACGGATTCTTCACGATGATTTGTCACGGTTTCGTCACGACGCTTCGTTACCGAATAGTGAACTGAACTGGTCACGTAATTGTGGCGTATAGTTGCATTATTTGGGGGTGTAATAATATTGTGCAGTGTAATGCAGTGCAGTACGGTATAGTGGGTTGTTTTGTGTATTGTCGAATTATTGCTTACCTTTAAAGTTTTGTAATTTGATTTCAACCTCATCATCAGGTTGAAATCAAATTACAAAACTTTGAAGGTAAGCAATAATTCCACAATACACAAAACAACCCACTATACCGTACTGCACTGCATTACACTACACAATATTATTACATCCCCAAATAATAACATATTGTTGTTAGGATTGTTTAGTTTTGCAATGTTAATGCAAAGAAAGCACATTTAACTGAATTATATTTTATTAGAAAAACAATAAAAACATATTCTACAATAAACTATAATAATATATATTATATGTATATATATATAGAAAAACACTTACAAAATAAAAAAATATTCCTCTTATAAAATAAAAATACCTCCACTTTTGAAAACCAGCAATAATTGCAATTAGTTTTCAAATTTCATATCTTTGAAAAAAAAATTAAATTATTTTTCTATTTTAAGGATAAAACAGTACACAAAAATATAATTCTCCTGTAGAATAAAACACTATTTTATTAGAATATACCTAATATAAAAAACAGTATAACAAAATAAACAAGTACCTATATACTCTATTTCTCTTATAAATTAAAAAATGAAATGAATGAAGTCAATTAATAATTCATCTAGTATAAAATTTTTATTTTATTTCTGCAGTTTAACTGCAACATTTATTTATAATAAACATTTATTTATAATAAACTTACTTAAATAACACTAGGGTTCAGCTGAAGTACAAACCTGTGATTTCATCTTATCATATGTATGCTGGAAGGCATACATAATGTGCTTTTCAAAGTCATCCTTTGTAATATTTCTTTCCCCCGAGACAACCCAAGACAATTGTGTTTGCCATCAATATGTCTTTTAGTCTAAAGTTTTCGTTCGTCCCTATAGGATATATCCAGTTGTGTGGAGTGTGTCCAGAGTGTCGACTGTAAAACAGTCTATGTTATGTTGGTTACCAATTTTTTAATTTTAATTGACCTGCAAAATGATCATAAGAAATAAGCAGTTTTCTCCATGGCTTTGTTAAAATTTATTTCGCGTACAAAAAAATGTATTTATTCCTCTTTCAGTAGAAATTCAACTTAAAAGCTATAATAATAAATTTGTTAAGGATATATTAACACACTAAAAATGTTGTGGTTACTTATATTTTGTTGCTACAGCAAAACATTTCTTAGATTAGAGTGTAGAGTTGTTTAGCATTGCAGACAATTGTCTTAAGCTACTGAAATATAGAAAAGCAAAAGTACTTACGGTTTTAAACTATCCTTTTGTTTACCATTAAAAACTTTGCAGAAATATAGAAAAACCTACAGAAACCAATGGCTTGGGTCGTTACCAAACATTCAAAATGGAGATCCTACTTTTTCTCTGATGGAGATGCACAGAACATATGACTATTGGCGACTGCGCATTGGTGTCACGACTTTACGTGATGTTTTCGTGACGATTTGTATAAATATTTTGTAACGTTTTTGTAACGAGCTGCACGTCAAGAATTTTATACCAAAATTTAAAGTAAAATTATCACTATTTCGTGTGACTAACGACTTTATGAAAAAATTCGTCACGTATTTTCATAGACCCCTCGTCACGAATTTGGCGTCACGCAATTTATTTACTTTTTATTAAAATTTCCTTAATCGTAACGAAATATTGTCTCGTTTTCGTCACTTCTAATTTTTAATGTCACGTTGTGCTACCTGGGATACTAGTTTAAAATTCAAAATATTATAAAACATATAAAAATTATTAAACTGTTATTAATTAAGGCTTGTTTTATAATTGTATCAAATATTTTAAATTATCTTAAACCTTTATTTAAATTCTAAACAAATTTAAAAATTATTTGTATTTTTATGAAATCACAAAATGCTTAGTAGATCAAATATACATTTTATATATATCAGATCAAATATACATTTTAGAATATTCATCAATATTATTAAACTGTTGTTGATTAAGGCTTGTTTTATAATTGTATCAAAACAACTGCTTAAATGTTTTAAATTATCTTAAACCTTTACTTAAAACAAATTTGATGTATTTTTATTAAATCACAAAACGCTTAGTATTCAGATTAAATATATGTTTTGGAATATTCATCAATATTATTAAACTGTTGTTTATTAAGGCTTGTTTTAAAATTGTATCAAAACAATTATTGCCTAAATATTTTAAATTATCTTCAACCTAAATTTTAAAATTACACTGTCCGTCAAAATTAACGCATAATAGGTAAAAAAACTCTAAAACGCCTTTACCAATCTTTATGAAAATTTGTGTAAAAATACTTCAACTTATATCTCAGTTTACGTGTTTGAGGGTTTTTCGAGAAAATATTTTTAAAGCCCTTTTATTTAATAATAAAAAAACGTTCGAAAAATAACTTTTAGAGAATTTTTTTTAAGTAAATAATTAGCAAAATATCCAAAAACGGGTTATTTTAACCGACTTTGAAGCGCTGTATCTTCGTTACTGTTCGTTTGATTTGTACAAAATTTTCAGGGTATACTAACAAAAATACGGTCTTTAACAGCATATTTTTTATTTACTTAAAAAATTCCCTAAAAGTTATTTTTCGAACTTTTTTTATTATTAAATAAAAGGGATATTCTCGAAAAACCCCCAAATAAGTTGAAGTATTTTTACACGAATTTTCATAAAGATTGGTATAGGCGTTTTAGAATTTTTTATTATGCGTTAATTTTGACGGGCAGTGTATATGTATTTTAAATCACAAAATGCTTAGTATTCAGTTCAAATATACATTTTGGAATATTCATCATCATATTGCTAAACTGTTAATAATTAAGGCTCGTTTTAGAATTGTATCAAAACAATGGTTTAAATTTTTTAAACTATCTTAAACCTTCCCTAAGCAAAAAATACTCACCACATCCACATGAATATAATAATAGTGATTTGCATTATACAAAATCCTAATCAACCTTTTAACTTGTCTTAAAGCTCTTCCATTCAAAGTTAAAAGAAAAACAATTCGGGCTGGTCTTTTTTGACTTTCTTCATAAGCCAATTCAGTCTTAGCAACTTGTGATATAAACTCTAAAAATACACATTAATTATCACCATTTCTGTAGAAAAACACAATATAACATACTTTTTATCCCAGTTTCATACACATTTATTGTATAATACCCTCCACAAGTATCTGGTGTATTCTCAACAGGGCATTTCATATTACATGAGGAATCGGGCAGTTTTGAGGTGGATGGTGGTTCGTTGTGCCCACAAAAACATTCATAGCTATAAAATAATAAATAGTCCAAATACAACAATATTCCAGCTCATATTTACCCATATTGTACACCAGCATATTGAAACCCTGATTGCAAGCATAAATTTATGCAATATTCAGGAGAATTGTCTTTTTTATATGCCCCATAGTACCCATTGAGCAATCTAAAGTTTTTCTCATCCTTATAACACCCTAATTGCCTCCCTAAGCTAAAATTCCCTGTTGGACAAGAACTTGACAACTCTTTGGGATACATTTTACCCGCATTGGACAAACATGTTATATTTGCCAGAATTTGCTTGCATTTTTGCGATTTGGCTCGGTGTATAGCCGATATTGCTTCTTTGTTATTGATATGACATGCTGGAACAAAATCCAACTCCTCCAATCGTAGTATGTTTTTGGTTACAATTGTAGAATTTTTCACTGTTTCCTTTACTTTAATTATTTTCGAATCTTCATCGTCGATTCTGTCGTTCTTATTTTTACGTGCTGAATTAATTTCAAAGTCCACATCTGGCAGATTTGATGGCAAATCAATGTTCTGTGGTTCCCATTTATTTTCATTGCTTTCTTTATTTGTCGACACAAATTGAAAGGATATGAATATTTGAATAGAAAGTATTACAAACCCACAAATAAAGTACGTTCTGTATCTTCTTATCCATTTGATATTGTTATTCTTAGCACTTTTAACATTAACCATTTCAATGTTCTAACATAATACTTGTAATTTTGATTTATTAAATTAACCAGTCAATGCATTTTCGGTTAGTTGGTCTATGGCACGTTAATTTTTAATAATCTCGCTATAAATAGTCAGGATTTATCGATAATCTATCCATTTTTTGTTTATTTTATAAAATACAACATTTGGGGTAAACCAAATTTGACACCTAGTATTGCCAACATAAAAATAGTTATATAAATTATACGAGAATAAAGTTCCACTAGGAATAATTCAAAAAAAAATGCCTATGGCTTAAAAATGAAGAATACATTTATGAGAAAATTTATTTTGATTATTTAATTGGATATATTTAATAAAATTTCGATACCATGAATCAATGTAGCCAATAATGTAAACCAATTCCCCCAATCCTATGTTGCCAATAATACTAAACAAAATCACCATGTCAATTCGAAAAAACTATGGTTATGTTTACATTTGAAATGCTGCACACGTGAATTCAGAATATTTGTTTGTGAGTAAAGAAACGTAAAATGGGGTTGACGAAGCAATATTTGCGGTACATACCGGCAGGAAATTTCAATATTATAGCTTCGCAGAACTGTAATGTGGAATTTGTCACTTTGGAGGGCCAAGAAGGTAGATTTGTCGCTGTAGGGGCATGCGAGCATATTATTATATGGGATTTACGTTTAGGAGAGAAGGTAATGATCACATTCTAGATATAACTTATGTATAAATAACAAATCTTTTAGGCGCAAGTTTTGCCTGGAGAAAGGGCAGTGGTAACAGCTTTAAGTGCTAGCCCCAATAAAAGACACTTAGCTGCTGGTTATTCTGATGGTTCTGTACAGGTTTACGATTTAAAAACTGCAGAAGTTATCAGTATATTCTCTGGGCACAGAAATGAAGTAACGATACTGAAATACGACGGTTTTGGACATAAATTGGCTTCTGGTGCAAAGGATTCTGATGTTATTGTGTGGGATACTGTAGCAGAAACTGGTTTGTGTAGGTTTTCAGGACATAAAGGTCCAATTACTGCAATTCAGTTTATGGGCAAACAGAACGTTTTGATATCCAGCTCTAAGGATACTTTTGTGAAGTTTTGGGATTTGGATACACAGCATTGTTTCAAGACTTTGGTTGGACACCAAACAGAGGTAATGTTATTGTTTATTTTTTTAGTAAATAATATGTTTTATTGAATTTTAGGTGTGGGGTATAAGTTTAATGAAAGATGACCAATATTTAGTGACTGGTTCAGGTGATGCAGAATTGAGAGTTTATAAATTATCTCAAAGGGATCCAGATGCTGAAAATAAGACACCTGTAGAACATTTAGCAACCACTTTGGAATTGACTAATCTTGGTGAAAATGATGATCCAACAGTAAGTTTTCTACAATATTTGTATTTATCTGACTACCTAAGGCACAAATTTACAAGGATCTTATATAAGTCTTGGGGATATTTCCTAAATTATGGAAATTCTATTTTTTTGCTTTTATCAACAAAATATTTTTAAAAATCCAGTCCATATTAAACTAAAAATTATATGATATATAGTTATATATAGTATTATACTATAATAGTATAATAGTCATGATATAGTTTGCAAATTGATTGTTCTGTGGATTTAATATTTGAATTAAATAGGTAATTATAAAAGAAAACTATTAAACTTAAAAGTTGTCTTTAATACTTGAAAAAACAAATCATTTATAACAAAACACATAAGGACAAGTCACAATACAATTTACAGAAAGTATACAATATATAATATTATTATGTATACTAAAACATAATTTCTCAAACAGTTTGCAAGTAGGTAATGAAAACAGTGTAAAAAATATTTAAGTACTATTTTTTAAAATCCAGGTAAAAGTATACTGTCAGGCAATTTATTATATCATTTTATGCATATTAGGGTGATTTTTTGCTATTAAGCTATTCCACTTAAATTAAATTTTAGGTATATTTCCTAAATGCTATTTTCAAGAGTATTTAAAATGTGTTATTTCGTTGCTGTTAGTTTTCAGAAGGTCCAAAACTAGCTAAGTATATAGAAATAGAAAAATATAGTACAAAACAATGTTCATGCTTCTAGAATTTATAAAACTACGCAGTAACGTTTTTTGTCTTTCTAAAAAGTTACATTCAATAAAATAAAATAAGTGGATGGATTTTATTAAAGGTTTAAGTAGATTTGTATCCCCTAAAAAAAATTCGAAAAATTATAAATGATAAATTTTTATATTTTCATTTAATATTTTTTTCGTAAAAAACTATCGGTCTTGTTAAAACAACAAAAATATAATCTTTGCGACCCTAAAACCATATCTTCCTAGAGATTTTTCGAGTTTAGCTATAAACAATGTAATAAAAGACTATTTAAGTAAAAACGGTGTGTTTAAAAAGTCCGGTAGTGGGAGCACCTGTTTTATAATAGTATATTAAATATATATATTAAATTTTAAGAAGTAATGTCATAAGACGTCATATGACAAAATATTTTGTCTCCTTCGTCGCTCGTTTTATAAATTGTCCGCGTGCGACAAAAGATCTTATGACATGATTTCTTTATGCTATTTATCTATTTTGTATAAATTCTATAAAAAAATTAATTCTATACCTTCAATTTAATTTGGTCGATTTTTACTTTGGATAGTTGGTATCAAAGTCATTGGTTTGACAATAAATGTCAAAATCGATTCGCCATGCCGTCCTTAATTTACTTATTTACAATAAGCGGCTGTTAATGTTTAAAAAAAAAAATATTTTCTTTGGTGTTGAACAAAATTTATTGCCAGAAAAGTCTCGTAAGTACTAGAAAAATCATAAAAATAGTATAACCAATATGCAAAATATTATGCTGTTTAAAGTATAGCCAACCTATAAAATCAAAATTTTGGGTTTGATAAATTATCTCATTAGAGCACCAAAAGCGGTGTTATAATGAAGTCATAATGAACGCAAAATAGATAAAAATGATTTTTAAATTTCAAAAATTGGATGAGAATTTTTAATTTAAATAAATTAGTTTTTATAAAGATTTAGTTGTTTTTTACCCTATTGCATATTGTCATATTGCTGCCAAAAGTTACTAACTGACATTTTGTAAAAATGTTAACAAATTGCACCTAACTAGGTATTCAAATTTACCATATCTTTAATATTTAAAAGCCACTAGATGCCTAGAATATTAGAAATGGTCGTTTTTGCCTGGTTAAAAAGTACTAACTAATAGTAACATGGTACTATTACTATAAGTTCAATTTTATTTCAATATTTTTTTCATGGATAACTTTACGGAATAAATTTGTGTAGTTATTATTGTGCATTTTTTTACTTAAAATTTTTCAATAAAATTTAGAATAGGGTCTTTTTGAGGGGTGGTGAATCAAGTGCCGTGCTTAGATTTTGTTTAAAAAAAATCGGTAATATGGATTCTTAAAAATTTACTGACATAGTAGGCCTTGTATTTTGTACAAATATGACGGTTAAAATCGCACAATTAATAAAGATTTTACAGGGGTGAGTCGCAAACAAATGGGTCACACTTTATATAAATTTATGCGTTAATTTTTTCGAGAATCGAGATTTTTAACAAATTAAGTAAAAACCTACATGTTATTTTTATTCGTTCAATTTTTAGCACCCCTTGCAGTGTTTAAAGGCAGGATCTCTGCTAAGAGCAGGCAGAGGTCGAGTGGTGACGCTATTCAACGATATCAGCGGTCAAATAATCGGTTGCCATGGCACCGACCAGCAAATCGAGTTATTTTACTTTTGCTCCGAAGATGAGGCCCAGACCCGACTAAAGAAACGCCTCAAAAAAGAGAAGAAAAAGGAAAAGTAAGTTTGACACAAAAATAATTTTTTCTACTTCCACCTTTAAAACGCCCTTTATCGTTCATGTTTCCGGGACACTAAGTGATCTTTTAAATACACATTGACAAGTTGTGGCTTTACGGCGCTTTAGTCACGGGCTGAAGTTAGCAACAGGTTTTTAGTCACGGGCCGAAGTTAGTTTTAAGTTAGTTGACAGTTGTCAAATGTCATACAATCGTTAAAATAAAGTGCATTTCTTGTAAAATAATACTAAATGTGAAAATTATTTTATTATCTCAATACAAAAATACAAAAGTATTAAATAGTTTCTCAACGCCAATATTTGAAAAGTTTATATGAAGATTGTATTGACCTTTTAATTTCGCCGGCAGTAAACTATAACTTAAATTCGGGCACGGACTCCACTGTAAAGTCCTCATAAAACATTTCCTTTACTTTCACTGTGAAAAACTGTCAATTTTCAAGAAATACATTTCGATTTATAACCTTTATAATTGTGTTTATAAAATGTAAAAATGTGACATTTGACAGTTTCCCCTGTTGTTTCATAGATGGCGTTCTATAAAAAATTTTGATTTAAATCGTTTTAAGATAATAAGTATTTGTCGTAGAAAAAGTATAGTATGCACCTCGTTTATAAACTTTTCTATACACTCACTAATTTAAGCACTCGCTCGCAAGCTCGCTCGTGCCTAAATTAAATTCGTGTATAAAATGGCGTTTATCAAACTTGATACATAATATACTATTTTTACGCCTAAATTATCGTTTAGGAAAGATGAAGAAATGGAGACAGATGCGCCATCTGAGAGCACGAAACTGAGCCTTAGAGACGAAGTGAAAAGACTCACTCCCATTAAGCTCACCAACAAACCAAAGTCGCTGGATTTGGTGCTGGGCAGTGGCGGCGAGCTCAGAATAGTGGTCACGATGGCAAACAACACGGTGGAACTGTACACCATACAAACGGCCGTTAAGGACTCTGAATCGAAATGTCTCAGGTCTATAGTCAGCCAGGGCCACCACAGCGAGGTCAGGGCCGTCAGTTTCAGCAGCGATAACTTGGCCATCGTCAGTGGCAGCGGGGAGTCCATCAAGATGTGGAACAGGCCTTCACAGGCTTGTCTGAGAACCATAGAAACCGGGTAAGTTTTTGGTTTTCGGTAAAAAAAAAATTAAAATATTTTTTTAGGTATGTTTTATCCACGATCTTCGTCCCTGGCGATCGACATGTTCTGGCGGGTTTAAAAGATGGCAGACTTTTAATTGTGGATATTGCGGCTGGTGACGTTTTAGAAGAAATACCCGCCCACACGAACGAATTGTGGAGCATTTGCTTGCAACCCGACCTGGTGAGCATAAAAAAATCTAAAATACTACCCACAAAAATATACTTTTGAAATATTGAATGAATTATTTTGCTAAATAACCTAAATATTTTCGAAATATTAGTCATTATCATTTAAATGCCTCTAAAATTTTTTACAACATTTAGATGTCCCACTTTTTATATTTATACAATATTTTTTCACAACATTTTTGTAATTTTTATATTTCATTAATGTTTTCTTAACATCACAAAAATATCTGGAAATATTTTCAAAATACTTACACTTCATTGCATATTTATTTTTAAAATGTTGTAAATGTTGATAAAATGTGCTTTTATATTTATAAAAGCCGTGTGATATTTTTTGTGTACTGAATTTTCTTGTTTTGGAGTGCAAAAAGTAGAAGTGGTATGGTATTCTCAAATCAGATATACTAAAACAGTGGAATACCATAGCTGGAGATCTATTTTTTGCACGCTAAAAAACAAGAAAATTTAGTACACCTCTTAATAAAAAATATTTAAAAAAAAATACTTTATTTTAAAAATAATCGATAGGTATAAATAAAAGTGAAATATGTAAAAAAAAATTTTTTGGGAAAAGTTACAGAAATAAAAGAATATTTTTCTTTCTACAGTCTTGGTTTTTCTTTTTAGGTTTCTTTTTTACTTCTTTTTTTCTAAATTTAGCTTGTGCCAGTCATTTTCGCAACTCCGGTAAAATGTCATTTTCCGTAGGAGTTTCGGTTTTTGTATTTTTCCGGATGGAGGCTTAAAATAATTTAATTTAAGTTGTTAAAGTCTTCGGTTCAATCCCGCTCGGTGAAATTACTTTTTTGTTTTTAAAGATTAAAAAACAATAATATTTTTGGTTTTCTAATAAAATTTTATTATGTTTATATTTGTTTTTTGTTAATAAGAAATTTACCGATACGAAATCGTCTTTAATAGGGTGGCAATGGGTGAATATATTGAGATGTCCCCCAAGTGAAAATAATTATAAGTGGTTCTGCACTAATGCAAGAATTTTAAGAAATCATACATTTTGAATATTAGACCTTCACGGAAGATAGCTTCACGGAGGTTAGGATTTCGTATGTTTTTTTAAAATCCGTTTGTATATTTGAAATAAGATATTGTATCTTTTGACACCTTAATATTTTTTTAAAATACAATTGTACATACATAAAATATTTATAAAAAAATCTACTTACTGATATATTACACTTCACGGTGGATAAGTTTTTAAATAGCAAATTAATGAACTTAAACTTTTGAATTATAAAACAGCAACACTCTCATCTGCATATAAATTTTAACTGACCTTCAGGAATCACATGCATCTATAATGCCATCTGTGGCATAAAATTTAAAGCAAAAACAGATTCACGGAGGATTAAATGGTTATAAAAATTATTTCTTTTAATTTTTAATAATATTTTATATTTGATTCGATTGCTTTGGATGTGTTTAATTTACTTAGTGAAGTGATATTTTTATTATGCTTTTACTACCTCAGATATTTGAAAACATATAGGTTAACCTAGAAAGAGTAAGAGTCACGGAGGATAGGTTTTAGACGTTTAAAACCTTGTAAAAAATAATTAATTGCGGTTAAAAATCTGGAAGCTGAGCTGTAATATCTACTTAATTATGAAAGATGAAAACACAATAAAAGTGTAGGTCAAACTCATTTAGTTTTATTAAATATCACGGGGTAACACCCATGGGGGACATTTCGTGAGATTCACCCAAATATTGTTCTCCAAACAACCTGACAACATTTTTAAAAAATATTGTGTTATGAGTATACTACCGCTTTTAAATCTAAGGTCCAATTTTCTTTTATAGAGAGGCTGCGCAACAGGTGGCGGCGACAAAACGGTGAAATTTTGGCAGTTCGAGTTGGTTGTGGATGAAAAAAGCGAGTCGAAAGCGAAAGTGTTGTCTCTGATCCACAACAGAACTTTAAAACTGGAAGATACGGTTTTGTGCGTCAAAATATCGCCCAACAGTAAATTCGTAGCAGTGGCTCTCCTGGATTCCACCGTCAAAATTTTCTTCTTGGACAGTTTTAAGGTGAATAAAATGACGAATTTAGGAGCGAAAATAACATTTTTTTTAGTTTTATTTGTCGCTGTACGGCCACAAACTGCCGGTACTCTGCATGGACATTTCGTCGGATTCAGGGCTGATTGCCACAGGGTCTGCTGACAGAAACGTCAAAATTTGGGGCATGGACTTCGGCGACTGCCACAAAAGTATTTTTGCGCACGACGATTCCGTAACTGGGCTCCAGTTCGTGCACAGAACGCACTACTTTTTCACGTGCGGGAAGGATGGAAAAGTCAAGCAGTGGGACGCAGACAGCTACGACAAAATCATAACATTACAAGTAAGTTTTTAGTCCCACAGGAGATCAGGGTGTCAAAGCTGTTAAATTGGTCCCATTATGAACCTTTGTAGCACACCAAGTACTTTTACTTTGATTTATAAAATGTGATAAAATATTAAATTTTAGTAGTGAATTTATTTTTTGATGAAAGAAATGTTTTACGCGATTTTTTAGTCTTAAGAAATTTATTTTTTTAACAGTTTTTCCTAAAAACTAATGTTTAATAATTGAAGACCTTGGAGTAAAAAACTCTTAAATAGGTCCCAATATGGATCCTTGTGGCATACCAAGTATTGGGGAGGAAAAGCTGTAAAATGACAACAAATTGAAGAAATAAATGTTTTACGCTATTTTTTAGAGATGGGAATTGAAAAGTTTTCATTTTAATTAAGAAAAGTTTCCATTTTGGAAAGTTTTCAGTCGGGAATTTATTTTTATGGAAACTTTTCCGGTTTTTGATGTAAATGTCAATTGTATAACAGCTGATTTGCGAAATTAAGGACAAAAAACTGAATAAGAAGTTAATTTGTTTTCATTTAAAGAAGAAGTATAGTATTAGCTATGTTCTATGATTATTTTGTTAAAGATCTCATCATCACAACTCATAAATCAAAATGTTGATTTTATTTTGCCTGTAAAGTAAGTTTTTTCATATTTTATTGGTCAGAATCTTTTACTTTTTATTATTCCTATATAGTTACTTTGTTCCTTTATATTTTTTTATGAAATATCTAGTGATTCACTAATAGTGAACATATAGTATACATTAATGTATTTTATCTATTTTGCGTTCATAATGACTTCATTATAATACCGCTTTCTGTGCTGTAATGAGAGACTTTATCCCACCCAAAATTTTTATACTTTAAACAGCATAATATTTTGTTTATTGGTTATAATATTTTTTGGCAATAAATTTTGTTTAACATTAAGAGCGCTTATTGTAAATAAGTAAATTAAGGACGGCATGGCGAATCGATTTTGTTGAACTGTCAAACCAATGACTGTGATACCAACTATCTAAAGTAAAATTCGACCAAATTAAATTTAAGGTATAAAATTAATTTTTTTTATGGAATTTTTGCAAAATAGATAAAATTGCATAAAGAACTTTAATTATTACAAACATTTCACAATTATTTCCGCAATGAAAAATGTTTTTTTGAAACTTTCTGGGAATTTTAGTCAATGGCAATTTGTTGAAATTCGTCATATAATAATATTTTTATAAAAACTCTTTTTTGGTGTTCCACAAGGGTTCACATTGTAACCCTGGAATCTGACCTTGATATCCACGACTTTTGTATCTCAGGGCCACAGCGGTGAAGCTTGGTCATTGGGCGTGAGTCCGAACGGTCAATTCCTCGTGAGTTGCGGTTCCGACAGGGTTTTAAGGCTTTACGAAAAGTCGGACCAAATTTTGGTGCTTCAGGACGAGGAGGAAGACGAACGCGAGCAGCAGGAGGCGCTGGCAACAGGGCAGCAAACCACCGTTCCCGGCCAACCTGGTTTGAAACTGCCGTCGAAAAAAACGATCGGGAGCGAGAAAGCTGTAAGATAGTCGAAGTTTTGTTGTTGTTTTTGTGTTTATGAAGTTTTTTTAGGCTGAAAGTATTTTGGAGTGTTTGGAAGTGTGCGAAAAATATAAGGAGCAACTAGCAGAACATGAGGCTTTGCAAGCGGCATCATCGCAAGTTTTACCCTTGCCGTTGCCACCCCCTTTGATGCAAGCTTTTAATGCCCAAACACCAGACGACTTTTTATTGGAGACCATCAAAAGAATAAGGCCCAGGTAAGTTAATTTAAACATCCTGTATCATAATATTATAATATAATTATTTTAGCGATTTAGAGGAAGCCCTTTTAATTTTACCATTCTCGACTGTGTGCGAAGTTTTGCAAACATTACCCGCCTTGATTAGTCGGGGAGACCACACGGAGTTAGTTTGCAAAATTTCGATATTTTTACTGAAATTACACCATGCTCCAATTGTCGCTAATAATGTTTTACTTTCGACGTTACAAAATCTGCAAAAGTTGGCGCAAGCCAAAGTACAAGAATTAAGGGTAATAATACAATTTATTTTTTATTTATACATGTTTATTATTTTATTATTTTGAAGGATTTGGTAGGGTACAACTTTTATGGTATGCAATTCATACAAAGAGATATAGAAGCCCACGAGGGTGTCCAATTGTTCAGGGATGCCACCATAGAAAAGAAAAAAGGCGACAAAAAGAGAAAACAAAGAGAAAAACTTAAAAGATCCATCATGGTTCTTAATAATTAAACTTAAAATAAATAATAATAAAATGTTTAAAAAATATATCTTTTATTTATCATAAAATGAAATGGATGGAAAAATATGGAAAATGTGTCACAACTGGAGGTAAGTCAAAACAATTGCAGTACCTAATTCATCTGATTCAAGTTACTCTAGGGTTTTAAAATTTTCGGTAAAATTGGGAAATTTTCAGAAAAATTGACTTTTGCATTTTTCATTCATCATACCTGCGAAAAAATGCAAAGGTCAATTTTTCTGAAAATTTACAAATACGCTGATATAGAGAAAAAAGTGAATGTAATCATAATATTAGGATTATAATAATTAATGCCTTTTATTTTAATTCAGTAAAAATATTCTACCGGGTCGCAAAAAAACATATTCTGTGGTGTATTAACATAACTTTCGTTTTATTTAACACTTTGATGTACAAAATTATAATTTTGTAATTTAACTTTATAAATCATTCATTATTTTGTAATTAATTTATTCAATGTTTAGTTTTATTTTTTTCTGTGAGGATATTTTTTAAATTGTATTTTTCCTAAAAAATACGATTTTTCCACACTTTAAAACCCCAGTTCTGATAAAAGGGGTGACTAATTATTAATTTGAGCTGCATAAAATCATTATTTGGTTTGAATGTAACTAAAAAGGTGATTTCTGTTAAAAGTGACTAGGTTATATTTAAAGTCTGAATCATTTTTAAAAAGGTAATGTGTTTTAAAAACCCAACGCCAGTGACTGTTGCTACCTGTTATCTTGGAGCAAATTATACACCACTTAAAAGCCAAAAATAAAAATAGGGTTTAGGCTTTAAATAAAAATCGTTTTTTAAATTTTTAGCGTAATGTTTTATTATTGTTTTTATTTAAATTTATTACATATGTGAAAATAAACAAAAAGTATTCTAACATTTGTTCATCGAAATTATATACAAGTATTTAGACAAAATAATTAAAAAAATATTTTTGCCAAATTAAAAACTACGCTGCTAGAGCAGTGTAGGGAAAACGCTTACAAAAAAATAACTATTAAGAATATTAATACTCGAAGTCTGAGATTATATATTTTATACAACGCGCTGACAATTTAATAAATTAGATTAATATTTTAGTAAAACAACTCTCTACATAAAATAAATTATTTCGATAAAAATTCTACAACAAAGAATTAGGTTGTTAAAATAGTTAGATGGGAAGAATTAAAAGTCATAATACTACACTTGGGGTTAAATTGTCTTAAGTTGCATAAAACATATTTTAGGGCTTTGGTTTGAGCGTAATAAAATTATATTTTACAACTGGCAAATTGTTTTGGCCAAATACCAAACTTACAAATATCGAGGGGGAAACAATATTTAATAAATAGACTGTTAGAATACTTTAATAATTTAATTAAAATTTTTTTTAAGATAAAAGATATTTGTAATTTTGGTATGCAGATGATGGTTTTCTAAAATTATTTGTATTAATTTTTACAGCTAAAATTACAAATTTAAATGCAACAACAGTGATGATCTAAATTCAAAGGAGAAAGTAAAAATTTCATAATTTTGGCCATAAAAATGAATATGAGAGAAAACGTTAATTTACTTTAATAAGTTAGGAACCAAGTGCTTATATAAATTACTAAATTACATTATTATTATTAATATTATTATTGCCAATAATGGATAAATGTTTTAGACATTTATTTATTGGAATAAAAATTGCTGTATATCTACATTTATACAAAAAGGTTATTGTTTATAATAGTTATTGAAAGCGTGGACGGAACAACCCTTCGTTACTTGTGGTACCGGAAATAATATTTTGGATTAAAAGGCCAAGGTGCCGAGAAGAACAGGTCGCCCAGAGACGGCCCGTTGTTATTTGCACCTTGGCCGAAAAAAAGGAGACCCGACCAGGGTTATTACAGGCGCACGCCAAAATAAATCAATATGAAAAAATAACAAGTTAACAATAATAACAAACGTTAGGCGAGGCTTTTATTCAACGAATACATCCGGGAATGTAATAATTTTTTTCAACGTAAAAGGGGAATTTTAAAACCATCTGCACTCTGGTTCGCAACGAAAATGATCTCATCAAAGCAACCAAAACAACGCTATAGAAGTCAGCTAAAAATGTCAACACGCTAAAGTCGTTGTTTTGGTCGCTAACAACCTTAACACAAATGGATTTATCACCTAAAAATTAACTGTGTTTTATACAATTGCGTTTATTAAAATACCTCCGCGAGGTACAGTATATACATAATATTTTGTTTTAAATAACTTATATAATTTAAAGTTCAGCCTTACAATATATCAGACTTGCTGTACAAATTACACTGGGTTCGACAGTTCGTTTTTTGCTCACTGCGTCATAGCTAGCTAGCACGTGATTAAAGTTGCAAACACGGATTTGCAGTAAATATAAAGGGAATTTAAAATAATAATAATTTACAAAATAAAATTTTGTAACGTTACAAAAATTAACTTTTGCTTGATTGCTGCCAAACCGTTTCGCAAAATAAGGAGATGTTTCGCCGACAAATATGGAAAAATAAAGGAGTAATATGAAATTCGTTTTTTTAAGTTTTTACTTTACATAGTAAATTACATCTGCACGGCATTCTTCATTGCACGTAGAGTGTGTTTATTGCTTTCTATAGACAATATTTTCTATAGAAAGAAAAGTCGCATATTGTTCAACTCACCGTGTCAGGTTGTAATACAGGATTTTTTAGATTTAACATTTTTTTCCAGTAAAATTTTCGGTAAAATGTTTTTTATTATGAAGGTTTTTTTAATCGTAGTATTACAACCTCCAGGGGGTGTTTCTTGAAATCTGCGACTTAACTTTCTATAGAAAACGATGTCTATAGAAAGCAATAAACCAATCAGAGCACGGCATTCTTCATTGCACGTAAAGATTTATTGCTTTCTATAGACATCATTTTTTATAGAAAGTTAAGTCGCAAATTTTAATAAAAAAACGCTTCTTAGTTTTTTTTGTGAATTGTTCAACTCACCGTGTCAGGTTGTAATTCAGGATTTAACATTTTTTTCCAGTAAAATACTCGGTAAAATGTTTTTTTATGGTGAGGATTTTTTTAATCGTAGTATTACAACCTCCAGGAGGTGTTTCTTGAAATCTGCGACTTAACTTTCTATAGAAAATGATGTCTATAGAAAGCAATACACCAATCAGAGCACTGCATTCTTCATTGCAAATGAGTGATTGATTTATTGCTTTTTATAGACATAATTTTCTTTAGAAAGTTAAGCAGGAAATTTTAATAAAAAACGCTTAGTAGTTTTTCGTGTATTGTTCAACTCACCGTGTCAGGTTGTAATTCAGGATTTTTTACATTTAACATTTTTCCCAGTAAAAATTTTTTTATTATGAAGGTTTTTTTAAATCGTAGTATTACAACCTCCAGGGGGTGTTTCTTGAAATAGGCGACAACTTTCTATAGAAAATAATCTATAGAAAGCAATAAACCAATCAGGGCACGGTATTCTTCATCGCACGTAGTGTGCGGTGGAAAATGCCATGTTGTGATTGGTTTATTGCCTTGTATAGTAGTTTTTCGTGCGTTGTTTGTAATTCGGGTTTTTTACATGTACCATTTTATCTTGTTAATAAAATATTGGGTGTATTGTAGGAATTTCGCATAACTCCTTATTTTTTGATGTTTGTCAGTGAAATGTCCCCTTGATTGCCGCACTTGGGCCAAAATTAAAAGAGTCATTTTTGTTCACTCGCACCGTTCGAAAATTCGCTAGCTACTCGTTGCACGACTCGCGCACTAGGGCTCGAAGGCGGGCGACGTGAACGCCGTCACCTGGTGCAGCTCCACCTTGCTGCTCCGCAGGCTCTTGACGTCGCCCCGGTCCTGCTGCATCCTGATGGAGACCTCGTGAGGCGGCGCGGGCGGCGGCGCGGTCCGCCACCGCGTGCCGAAGGTGGGCGCGTGCGCGGGGGCGGGCGCCGCGCCGCCGTCCACGCTGTCGGCGCCCGCCGTCCCCCGCTTCGACTTCGTGCGCCGCTTGACGTGCAGCCACACGACCACGCACAGGATCACCACCAGGAAGACGGCGATGCTGGCGCCGCCCGCTATGCTCGCCGTCTCCAGCATGAACTTCCGTTGGGATGCTGCAAACGAAAGAGAAATACATTAGATTTGAGGTTAGGAACCTTAACTTAAGACGAGAATTTTTGAAAAAGCTGACTAAACTATAATAATAAATAATATTTATCATATATTATGAGAAAAATTGAACCTACACCTCGCCAAAGTTTTTTGTTTTGAATGCGTTCCACCAACTTCAAATACCGACAGACAGCTGTTTCGACCTATATTAGGTCTCATCAGTGTCGGGCAACTTGGTGTAGTGGAACACAATCAAAACAAAGGACTCCCTGAGCTTATATGCTCGGTTGTTAAGTCAACAGAGGCGAGATGTAAGAACATCAGGTGATCCACACCGTCTAACGACGCGCATAATATGCAACCGAGACTGCACACAGCAATTGTATCACAGATACTAATATGGCCCAAAGGAATCTAGAATTAACCCAACCGGGCTAAACATTAAGGTAAACATTCAATTTTCTTAGTTTCTTTAAGAAACTTTCTTGACCCATTATGAAATAAAAATATGTATCAAATAAAGTACACCATACCACGTGATTAGGGTTGCCAGAATCATAATAAATATAATAATATAAATTCAACATTGCAACTATACTTTTTTTATTCTAAAACGCGATTTTGATTCTATATTTTAGGAGCATAGAAGATAGAATATTTTCGTTAAATATATTAAATATAGAAGGCCTGACAACCCTACATGTGAAATATTATAATTAATTTAAAAGAAAACAATACAAATACTTACGTAAATAGGATCCATCCAAATCCTTATATTCACATCTTTGGCCCATATAGCCCTCGGCACACCTAAAATAACAAAAAATAATATATAAATAACATTTTATTAAAATGTGTGTTTTATTAATATTTTTTCCCTAAAAAAAACAATTTTTCCAAAGCAAGGGAAAAAAACGAAAAAAAAACAGGGCTTATCCTGCTACAGAACGACTGAATCTACATTAATAGAAAGCATGGCGGTCGCAGGAAGGAGCCTTGCGGAACCCCCATGCATGCAAACGAATTATAGGATGGTATTTTTTTTCTTCGAATTTTGGCACTTACTCGCAGTTGTAAAGCAGCGTGTTGCCGATTTTGACGGTGAAGCACTTGGCGTCGTTCAGGCAGTACCAGGCCGCGTAGTCCGGCGGACATTGGTACGTGTGGAATGTGATGTTCGGCCGCACCGTGGGCACCGGCGGCCGCGGTTTCGGAGTTGTACGCGACGAACAGGCATCTGAAACAAGACAGCAAATTATTAGGTTTTTTTTGTTTATTAAAATGATTTATTAATATGGTAAACTTAACCAAAAAAATGCTTAAATTTTTATCTAAATGTAGAAAAGAGATGTGCTCGAACAAAATTAGAGAATTAAAAACTGCCCTTACGTTTAATTTATTTTAAACGGGTAATTAAAAACTGCACAATAAAATTAATTTTGCGGGTATTTCGAATAAAATTGAATAATTGAAAACTGCCCTAACAAGGCTAACATGCATAAATTTAAAAAAAAATACATCCGAACAGTACTTTAAAATTAAAAAATAATCGAAAATTCGCAGTTGCATAAATTTAAAAAATGGTGGCACTAACTTCAAGATTTCCAATTATTTTATATTTTCCAAAATTTTTAAAATTTTAAAATATTCTGAATTTTCCGAAAACATTTTTAGTCAAAGATTTATTAATTGGATTTAATATTAATATAAAAATTGGATAATTGAAAACTGCCCTTACAAGGCATAGATTTTAAAAATAAATCGGCACTGTGGTTCAAAACTAAAAATTAATTGGAAAATTCGCACAGTGGAATAAATTTAAAAATTAGTAAGACAATTTGCACAGTGGCACAATTTTCAAGATTTATAAAAATATTATATTTTTAAAAATTATAAAATTTTCGAATTTTCAAAGTTTTAAAATATTCTGAATTTTTCGAAAACATTTTTAGTCAAAGATTTATTAATTGGATTTAATATTAATATAAAAATTGGATAATTGAAAACTGCCCTTACAAGCATAGGTTTAAAAAATAAATCGGCACTGTGGTTCAAAACTAAAAATTAATTGGAAAATTCGCACAGTGGTATAAATTTAAAAATTAGTAGGACAATTTGCACAGTGGCACAATTTTCAAGATTTATAAAAAATTTATATTTTTAAAAATTATAAAAAATTTCGATTTTTCAAAAAAATTTAAAATTATTTAAATTTTCTAAATTTTTTTGAAATTTACAAAATATTCGAAATTTTAAAAATATTCCGAAATTAACAACATTTTTAATCAACGCTTTATTAATTGGACTTAATATCTTTCTTTTAAGAATTTCATTATTTTTCCTTCTTATAAATTATTAAAACAAACAAAAATATTTGCTCACGCACAGGTTTTTTATAATTTTATCTTTACACATTCTAAAATTTTTGCTTTATTATTGTCAATGCTCACCACAAAAGTATTCGATTATTTTCTAGGCTGTAAAAATAATTTAGACCAATCAAGTAAGGTTTTCAAAATGATGAGCTATCTAACCTCACTTTATACTTTTATAATTATTATTAGTACGTTTTACAGTTTGTTTTTTTTTATTTGGAATTTGACAGATTTAATTATGTTGGTACTGTATGTCAATATCATTATATACTGCCATCCACTACATCTTCAGTCATGTGATATAAAAGCCGAACGAGCCGCCACTGGCTTAAGTAAAAGTCAATTTTTGTGGAACGTAAACGATTTTAATCACGAGATGTCTTTAATATGCCGACGAGTGCCTATAAATGTTAAATTACAATTATTGAAGGGCCTTGCACCTGCTCTTCAATTGCTGCGCCAAAAATTTGAATACCTACAAGAGTCGAAAAACGTAAAAAGATCCGAGATAATTTGGGACATGTGCCGGAACATATGTCCTCCTCGCTCGGTAGAAAAATCGTCTTTTCTAATAAGCAAAGTTAATTCCGCCGTATTTTTATCCAAATAAAGGTGGGCGCTTTTTTCCACCGCCGAGAAACAGATGCCAAGGGATGATGGCAACTTAACGAGATTACGGTCGGTTTTTTTCGACATATGTTCCTCCCTTATGGGACGACAATCCATTGCGTTTTTTATTGTTTCGTCTAATAATTTACCTGCGAAGCATTATCAATATTTGTACTATTGAACGGCGGAATTTTTTAACGCGCGTGTCTATTCATTTAAGAAGGCGCAACAAAAAATTCTTTGCCGCTGGGGTTTGTTATAATTTTGATACCTTTATTATTTTTTTGTTGCTTTTTGATGCGGAAGGTATAATTTAACGACCTAAAGAATATTTATAAAAAAAAGTTCTAAACCTTATCATATTTTTTTCTGTTTTGTAAACTTAACCAAAAGTTTTGTGGACCTGGAAACATAAAATCTGATTAATATTTGGTTAGTTCCATCAAATAACATTTAAACGATATAATGGGAAACAAATCGAAAAGATATTTGATTTAATGCCATCCCGATATTTATTGAAAGCCGCAGCCACCATAAAAAAACGTAGGAAAAAACCCCCAGGCACCGAAACTATATATCCACATAGTGATACCGCCGCGCCGCCGAATAATTGTGATTTGTACGGTGCGGGAAACCGTGAGAAATCCGTTTCGGAGGCCCGACAAAACAAAATAAATAAATAACGCAACAAAACAACACTAATTCGCTGCCGCACAGTTGTCCCCCTAAAAATCAGATTTGTGTAATCATCTCAGTACAAGTATTCTTATTTGTCAATTTTTCACGCGCATTCCGTAGCTTCGGCATCGGCTTGCGCAATATGACTTCATAATGACTTCACAGTGAGGGCGCATCGGTGTGCGCGGGATTCGCAAGCGCGATTAGCGATATTCTGTCAGTTTATCAAAGTAAGCCACTGTGCGTGGATGATGGGAGCAAAAGAAGGATTAATAAAGGAACAAAATGGTTCTCCTGTCGCCCGGCGCAACGCATAAATACGTCGGAATCGTCAATTTTAAATTAAAGTCGACTCGTTATTCATTCAAAAAGGTGAACTATTTTAATTAGGAGCAATATATCAATTTGGAAGAGGTGCCTCCGAATATGTCCATGCGCACAGTGGTCAAAGTTTAAAGATCACGTGGATAGGATAAAATTAGTTTTTTATATGTAAAAACCTACGATTTGTCAAAGTAATGAGATTATTTTTAATTACAGAATAAACTTTTTTTACTGTTAATAAAGTTCTCATTTACTATAATGAAGCAGCAATGTTGAGCTTTTATTAAAAAAATGTTCATCCAACAAAGTAATAGTTGTTATCATATTGTCATGGCAATAAGAAATATGTTTATATTAAATCTTTGTCGAACTTAATTTTTTTTGTTAAATCTATAGTTGTGTGTGAATAAAGTAAAGCGCAGTTGTTATAGTAAAATTTGTTCATTTTACTATGGCATATTTGTCTTTTTTAAATTGCTATCGTTGTAATTCAAATTAATTTTATTTCAGTTAAAAAATCTTTGTTAATAGCTTACGTTAAGAACAATAACAAAAATATTTTATTGCTATAAAGAGACTTTTTTAATATTTACCATTGTTTTGCAAAGGTAATAAAATTTCCCTTAAAAAGAGGGGGAAAGGGCCAGCGCTCTCCTTTGTGAGCATAACTTTATAATCCACAGTCTGTGTTACAATCTTATTGATTTCACTTGTGCGAGTGAAGTGTGGTAATATCTATGATAAAAATATCAAAAAGATCACTAGGAAAATTAAAATATCGAAGTTTTGTAAAAGAAATATTGAAGATCTATTCTATAAATAAAGCAGACTTGTTGTTTAATTAAAAAGTGAGTTCGTATTTTTTTATTTTGTACATCATATAATATGAGATAATTTTTTTGTTATAATAAATAATTTGTTTTAATGCCTTGCAATTATTTAAAAAAACACCCAACAGTAGGTTGAAAATGTGACCATTGTTACAATGAAAATAGTTTATTGAATTAACAATTAATTTGTTGTTAAATTTACATAAATTTTGTTAATATTATAAAAAAGAGTTTTATTTTAAACGAAAAGGGATTTGTAAAATTTACAAAATTTCTATGAATAATACCATTAGGGTTTCATTAATAATACAAAACGTTTTTGTAAACGGCATAGAACTGTTTTTTGGACAAATAATAATAAGTATATTTATCAATGCGTTTCTGCATCTGGAAAAGTGTTATTTTTATAAATATAACGTAAATTTACTTTATAATTAATGCAAATGCTATTACTGAAAGCAGCGTTTGTAGATAAATAATTTTTATAAAAATGATCTTTCCGTAACAAAAGCAATTGTTGGAGGAATAGGGATCTTTACTTTATTAAGACAAACTACTTTTTTTGTTATATTTGCAATACTCATTATTTAATTAACAAAAACCTATGTTAGAGTGGTAAATTAACCTTGAAACTAACATTTTACAAGAAACACAACGTTAAAACGATTTTTAATCTGTATAAACAGCACAATCCCAAAGCATAAGAATTGCAAGCGACATAAAAATGGCCGCCGTTAGAGTCTGCGCAGTTGGTTGCCTAGCATGCGCGAAACGAGATACACAAACAGACCTTGTTGTGCGGATTGTGGTCAAGTTATGGTTTGTCCATTGATAACTCGAAGTTGACGTGATGGTGCGCCTGGGCAGGCATTCTTCAGCACAGTGTGCCAGCCCGTGGGGGCAGGTAGTCCGTTTAGTTAGTTAATCGCAGCGCTCACAAATCATTGCCTAATAACATAGCGCGCCTATTGAAAAGCTCGGCGCAAACAGGCGGCCAAATTATTTTTTAATTTTTATTCCTTATTTTACCATACTCTCTTAAAATGAAATAGTCAAAAATCTACTATTTGAATTGTTTACTAATAAACTTTTAAATATTAATTTTTAATCAATTTGAATATTTCATTCAGTAGAATTTGTCTAATTATTAGTGACTGCTTTTTCGCTATGACAATTAGTCAAATATGACTTATTTTTGACTAATTGGTGCCTTACAAACTCATACATAAAATTCTATGGAAACTCTTCAAACAGAGATACAACTTTAAAAAAATTAAAAAAAAACAATATTTAAATATACAAAAGAAGAACACAAACTGCCCGTGTATAATCTAATCGAAAACGTTCGAGATGATATTGAAGATACGGGGTTCTTCAGGGAATCAATTTGGGCCCGTGTAGGTGTTTAAGCGATTCCAAGA